TAATATTGGCACATGTTCATGCATCGTCACACTCATGCCGCTTATGCCACTCAGAAGTACGGTACATTGTTTTGTGTTAAACAGTGGGTCTGTTTGCGTTGCGACAATATATAAATTTAAAATAAAAATGGTGCGGTGTATTGTTAAAAGTTGTAGGAATAAAACAACGGGGGTTCGTGAGGAAACTGTGAATTTTTTTCAGCTACCGAAAAATGAAGTGATGCGGGAAGGATGGCTGAAAAAAAATAGGAGGCTATGTTTTACCACCAAAAGTTGAATTTGGTAAGTTTGATATTGTACATAAACGTGCAAAAGTATATTAATTAAAAAATAAAAATGAATAAAAAATAATATTTTTTAGTTACTAACATAACCTCAAATTTTGTATTTACAAATGGAGTAAAAATGTCATGAAATGTTATTAATATGAACAGAAAATAATAAAAACAAATTAGCACTTTGTTCATGTATATAAGTAAAAATATTTTACAATTTAAAATATGAAAATCTTTAATTTGAAATAAAAATTATAAAGCCATATTTAATACAATGTATTAAGTTTTATTATTTATACATTATATTATTTTCAGCAAGGATATGCTCGGTTCAGTCAAGAGTCCTTTCATCAAGGTCGAGCACGGAAAGACCCTGTTAAGAAACGTCACCTACTACCATCGGCTGTGCCAACGTTATTTTTGAATTGTTCAGAAGCTCCAAATGTAAACAAGTAAGTATATAAAAACACATACACATTTGAATTTGTAATGTGGTGTTATGTAATTATATAAATGTACTTTTTCACAAGGAATGCGGTGGCTGAACCCGCTGAACCAAATCTCAAATTCAATATCCTCCGACGAGAATTCCCACTAGTTGTCAATTCTGAAAGAAGAATAGGATCTTCAAATACAACTTCACCAACAACTTCTTATGTAGTTGTAGAAGACAGCATTGTAAATATTAGTACGCCAAAAGGAATACATAGGAGGTAAATATTTGAAGGTTTAATTTAACAAAAATCACAAAGGGGTAATTAATAGTGATGTTCTTTTAGAAGTGACTGGTTGGATGCAAATGTCGACATTGAAGAAAGTCCACCGGTGGCATCTGGCCCTGAAAGACGAGTATGCAATTCATCACCAAGAAGGTATGCTCACAGTGATATTTCTGAAATTACTTTTCAGCAAGGTTTTATTTTTAATGATCTTTTTTATTCTGTTGAGCAGGTCTGTGGCAAGAAGACATGACCGTTTACAAAATACTCCACATTTGACGAGGTGAGCATGAGACATAAAAAACAAAACATAAATTTGTAAAAAAAAATTTATATTATTTCACAAATAAATAATAAACATTGGATGTTTTACAATCAGTATGTTATGTTTATATTTAAACATGAAGACTTTTTTAAATTTTCAGACTTGCAAGAAGTAAACACCGTCGACAAAGCAGCAGTGATCCACTGAGTCCAGCATGGAAGCGTCGAAAACGGTATTTACCAATTTTACAATATTTCATATAAATACTTCACAGAATCATTTCTGTACTATATCTTCACAGTACCCAAAGCAAAGGAAATAATGTCCAAACACTGTCAAGAAATAGAAAAAGGATTTCATGAACATTTTTTGAAGCGAATTCACAGTCCTTCGGTTTCAGTGATTTTTGGTACGACAAATTTGAATATACTGATTCCTATGATAATTGAGACATAGAATGAGACAAAATGTTTTTATTAATAGCTTTTAACCTTATACTTGTAACACTTCTCAGATTCTTAGTGACTTTTAATTGAAGACTCATTGTATTCATATTCGTCGTACCAAAAATCATTTGAACCGAAAGACTCTGGATCCACCTCAAGAGATCTTTCTGAAATCCTTATACTGTTTCTTGAGTGTTTGGACATTACTTAGTTTTATTTTAGGTACTGTATATTCTCTTTTTCATTTAATGTCAAGAAAATTAATCAAATTTATTTAACATAATTTAACAAATTATAACCATGCTTTTTCTCGTCTTCTGTTCTTTTTCTACTTTAAATTTCTATATTTACAACATCAAAATTAAATATAACAAATATTAATATTAATAAAAACGTTAATAATATATTATAACATTAAGTATATATTATATTTTGTGATTTAAACTATTCATATATGAAGCTTTAATTATTTTCTCATATTAGAAATAAGAGTATTAAAAAACTACGCTGGAGTTTACGGTGACAGAGTTTAAAAACTGGTAGTTATTATATTGTCTTATATTTATTACAGGTTCCTCATGGACAATTGCACCGGCCAAACCTCTCAGAAGAAGGCTACACATTCGCATGTCGCAGATGACGTAGACGCTGAACTTCGTCACCGACGTTCTTTGAGTAACTTTTTCAAAAAGTCTCTCTGCGATGCTTCAGCGGCAGTGACTTCTGTTGTACAGGAATGTGCCGAGTTGAAAATGAAACTGAAGGCAAAGATTGAGGAACAGTCACTTTTCATAAAAGAGAATAAAGATCTAAAAGAGATCATCGATTGTTTGAAAAAGCAGTTACAGGAAGCAGAAGCCGAAAAAAAACGAATGTCTTGTGCGAAGGAGGAATACGTTCGCGAAGTATTGTCTCCTTACTTTACTGCTGGACAAATTCGGTGCATTCTAGAAAAACGAAAATGGATTCATTGGTCCTTTTACAAATAAAAGTTGTTATACTAATTATTTTTGCTTCTTTGCATTCCTTTCACAAACATTAATCACTTCTCTCTCTTCAAAAATATCAGTAATAATATTTTAAATGTAAAAGGTGTGACAAATTTTTTTCCAAAGATCTGATTTTCGTGTATCGACTTTCCTTTTAAGCGGTTTATTAATGTACCACCTTGTGTTGTAAACAAATTAATTTTAAATAGGTACAATTATTGAAACAGAAATTAGAAATGTAATCAAGAATAATGAATAAAAAAAATACATGAAATTGGAATAATTAATAAATTATATTAAATTTCAATAATTTAATTTTTCGTTGATTATGTATACCTATAATTAGTTATATTATACTTCGCCAATACATATTTTTAAACGCCAATTTTATATAAAATTAATAATTGTTGTGTTACTTTTACGGGCAACAAATAATTAATAAAAAAAAAAAAAAAACAAATGATTCGAACGTATGACCCTTGCATTCAAAAGTTATCGCCACATCCTTTGAGCCAGTAAGATACTAGAGTGCTTTTATACTTAATATATACATTATCATCGGGCAGAAGGTTAGGCTTTATTCATGCCATTAATCGATGACAATAATTCTGTCTTTTTGCGTTAATTCATTCAAAACCAGCAAAGGAAAAAATAGAAGCATTAAAACATTCAAAAAAAGGAAGTATTGCAATTTTAATACTATTACATTCTTTGTACATGAGGCTTTACAAGTATTATTTTTTTAAATTTTCTTTAATACTTTTCCATTTGTTGAGAAATCATTGAAGCCCTAAACAATAATACTTTTCAATAATTTCTAATAAATACAACGTATCTTCAAATATCATTCATCGTTGCAATACATTTTCAGGAGGCAGTTTGCAACATAATCCGTTCAAATTTCCTATTTCCTAGTTACTTTTAGTGGTGGTACCACTGCTTACACAATTCGACGTGAGCGGCAGAGAGAGAAACGATTTTAGAGAAAGAAAGACACCAATTGAGCACACCATGTAATCCTTACACCATGGGACAGACGGACCTGACCTGACGGACGACGGGCCACACGTCAAACATGGCGGAGCTGATCGCGATCCCGTTGAAGAAGCCCTCGGACGTGGACGTGGTGAAGCCGCTCACCAATGTCATCCGCTCGACGTACAGCGGCACGGGCAAGGATTACGCGGACGCCATCGCCGAGTTCAGCAAGCTGCGGAACAACGCTCTGTGGCGCGCCTTCGAGAAGTACGAGAGCTCCTTGCAGGTTATCTACAGGTATGAGTCATACCGATTTAATTTATTGTCTCGATTATGCGTGCGACGTGCCGTGCCGGACGTCACCGGTCTCTCAGACGGGAACGTCCGGACGTATTTTGCACGTCTTTACCCTACTCCCTCCCTCGCACCTCCGAATTGCCGAGTGTCAGCGACGTCTAAAGCCGGTGACGAGCGACGTTCGAGAAGAATGTCGCGGGTCTTTCCTTTATTTTTTTAAGATTCATAATTCAATCTCAGTATCTCAAATTGAAGATCGTTTCAGGTCGTACCTTAAATGATCTTCCATCCACTGAAATAACCCTACAGCATCCTGAAATCGTACTTGAGATGATCTTAAATGGGGACTATCAATACCATCTTACAAGCGGTATTCATAATCAGATTTTATAATTAAGATCGTTTCAAGTTTATCTTCAGGTGTTGTACTCGTTTCATTGGCTATGGAGTATCTCAAGATGAACTTAAGACGATCTTACATATAAGATGACTATAAATACCATTCTTTAACTTTGGAGAAAGTTTAGAGTCTAAAATCTGAAGATCTTTTTGTGGATTAAGGTTTAAAGACAGATAATAAAGCGTTATGTTCTATCGTTAATGGACCTTAACAGAAGTCTTAATGCAAAGTTAGATTTAAAGTTGAAGGCGATAGAACGAGTTTTGCTATATACTGAAAGTGTATTGAAAGGATCTCGTTCGTTCATAACTGAAAAGCTTGCCAGCTATGAATATATGACTATTTATTTGCAGCTATTATGATCAATTATGCGCTCTGGAAGGAAAAATCCCCGCTCACGAGTTGCAAATACCATTCAAGTGGAAAGACGCCTTCGACCGTACAATTTTTGGGGGAAAACTTAGCTTGAGTAAATACCAAAAGATATAATTGTCTATCTTGATTTTAATTTTTATAGTGAAATTTGAACTATTTGAGAATTATTTGAAGCAATTGGTAAACAGATGGTAGGATGAGTAATCTCTTATAGATTGAGAGTGCTTATTAAAGTTGTAGATAAGATAAGACAATATAGGTTTCACTTGCGTATATCAATAACAATGTGATACAACTTGTAATATTGTTTTATGTAGCAATCAGCACATTGGCGTATGAGAAAGTATGCGTGCTCTTCAATATCGCCGCTTTACAAAGTTCGGTGGCGGCAACACAATCCTTAGACAGCGACGAAGGATTAAAGCTGTCAGCTAAGTTATTTCAGGTTCGCCCTTTTTGCTTTTTTTTGCCCTTATGTGATTAATATACTTTATCGTGTGTTTAATGATTAATTTCCCTGCAGCAATCAGCTGGAATATTTAATCATCTGAAAGGAAACGTTATGATGGCGATTCAGCAAGAACCGACACCTGATATTAGCCCGGAAACACTCGGAGCGTTGAGCGCGTTAATGCTCGCACAAGCGCAAGAGATATTTGTGCATAAGGCGATTCACGATTCTATGAAGGATGGTATTGTTGCTAGACTAGCAGCGCAAGCGGAAGAACTATATGCGGATGCCCTGAAACTATTCCAGAAAGAAATTTTTCGCGCGTTTTGGGACAAAGAATGGGTACCACTGGTTAGTACATGGGGGGTTGACGTACGGAATTGCTTTCAAACATCATTTTAAATAAATGTTATTGCAGGTCGCAGGTAAACAAGCTGGTTATCGCGCCATGGCTGAATTTCATCAATCGCTTGTATGCAAGAATAACAAATTGATTGGCGAGGAAATTGCTAGGCTGGAGGTAATTACAGTAGCATTGTTCTAAATTGTTCACTTTAAATTCATGTTTTCGGTGTCTATAAAGATCCGCGTTAACATTTTCAGCACGCCGTAGAGCTCTTCAAAGCCGCTCAGCAACGATCGAATAAACCAAATTTGTTCCAAGATTACGCCAACAGGGCGCAGAGAAATCTAACGGAGGTGAAAAAGGATAACGATTTTATATATCACGAAAGAATTCCAGATATCAAGAACGTGGAAGCTATAGGAAAAGCTAACGTTGCTAAACTACTCCCGCTACCTGAAGTATTCAGTGCCGATTTCAAAGGTTCGATATTGATCTCGCACGAGAGATGCCTTCCTCTCGTAAATAACATAATATTTGAAATTATAAATAAGATGATTCATGCGATATCGATCTCGCATGAGAGATGCCTTCGTCTTATAATGTCAATCATTTTGACATATGCTTACAGACTTGTTTGCCGATCTGTTGCCTCTTAATGTGCGCCACGCAATGTCGGCCTATGAGAATCGTCGTAATGAGCTTGTAAATTACGAAATTTCGAATCTTCGTGAAATGACGCAACTTTTAAATAGGTACACATCATGAAATATAATGCAATTTTTATCGTCTAATCATAGATTCCTTCATTAAATATTTTTATTGTGTATACGTACAGTGTTTTGGCAAGTTTGAACTTACCAGCGGCTATAGAAGATACGAGTGGAACGGAAATACCTCAATCGCTTTTGGACAAAGCGCTTTACGTACGAGAATCTGGTGGAATAAAAGCTCTGGAAGAATCTATGAGAGAACTGCCGGATTTATTGCAGCGTAATAAAGAGCTTTTAGACGAGGTAAGAATATTACTTTTCTTATTCAAGCTCCTTGAAAGTGTTGCATATTATCTTTTACTTTTACTTATAGTCTGAAAGAATGCTGCAAGAAGAGCGTGAATCTGACAACCAGTTAAGAGAGCAATTCAAAGAACGTTGGAAGCGGACACCCAGTGCCCGGTTGACAGAACAATTTACTAGCAATTTACACAAATATCGTGAAATTATAAATAACGCAGTCACCGCTGATAAGGTAAAAATTCAAAGACAGAAAAGAAAACTTTGTGAATCTTACGAACGTTCTATATTGGTCATACATAGGTAGTTCGTGAAAAATTTGAAAGCCATAAAGAAGGGATCCAAATCCTGAGTTTGGACGAGGACGAGCTTGCCAGGGCTATTCCGCAAGGTTCTGCTCTTCAAGAAAGTAATGCTGTCATTAAGCTCAGGAAATTAATGGATGATGTAAGTGGAAAAAAATCATGAGAATTAACAGCAATAAATGGATTGAGACATTTTTTTTGTATTCTAATCACAATATATATTATTTTTTTTCTTTGTTAGGTAGCCACATTAAAAACTGTACGAGACTCTATCGAAAATGAATTTAAATTTGCTGCCAATGACATGAAGATGACGTTCCTTTCGGCACTGGCCAAGGACGGCGCGATCGACGAACCAAATATATCTGTCGAGAGTCTGGGAAAGTGTTACGGACCTTTGCAGAAGCAAGTGCGAGAAAGTATAGCGCAGCAGGAGAAATTGGTTGCTGAAATTCAGGTATATCTGACATTTTCATGATGGACAACCAGTCAAGATCAGAAATGAACAAGAGGAAGACATTGATAACAATCTACGATGGTTTTAGAGTTGCCATGCAGAATTTACAAACGAACAAGTTGGTAGCGGCAGCGCGCGAGAAGCGATACTCTGTAAACTGGCTGCCGCTTACGATGCATTTAAAGAGCTGAAGAATAACCTAGTAGAAGGGGCTAAATTTTATAACGATTTAACGCAGGTACATTTATATCGTGACTCTCTCCTCGGGATTGTCGCCGTCGTCTAACCAATTTGTGTCTTTCTCTCGCTAGCTACTCGTCGTTTTCCAAAACAAGATATCCGACTTCTGTTTCGCCCGAAAAACCGAGAAGGAGGAACTCTTGAAAGATTTAACCACGAACCTGAGCCAGACCGGTCCCGTTGCAACACCGAACATTCCATCTCATCACGGCAGTGGTACGGATCTGTTATGTTACGTTGACTTCGTTAACGCGTCGCGAATCGAATAAATATTGACTCTCTACCCGAGTAGGTCCGCCTGGCATAAATCCAATGGCGGAAGCCGCCGCATCATCGCCGCAGCTGCCTTATCCGATCCAGCATCAAGGTGGGATGCCTGTACCTTACGGTGCCACGCCGGCAACGCCGTATCCAGCATACGTTCCTCCGCCAATGCCGACGACGTACAATCCATATGCTACGATGCCGTATCCTATGCAACAAGGTATACATAGAGACCTCGCACGCAGTCCCGTCATCTGTAATACACGTATATGTGTCCAAGAGGCACGTAATGAGATTTGTGGATTTTTTTAGGAGGATACAATCCGTACCAGGGTATGCCTCAAGCTCCGTACGGAGGTTTCGCCACGTTACCACGTTACGGTGGCACTCAACCACCGCAGGGTCCACCAAATCCATGGTGAACCATACAGGCAAGCAGTATTAGCTGCAATTTGAAGTATATTCGTATATCACGCATATTTTATATATAAATTCTAGAGAAGTCTGCTATTAACCAACATTGGCCGACAATGTTGCGTATAATCCAAGGGAATTTGCGTTTACTAATTGTTACACGTTTCACCGTGTCGAGTCCTTTATCTAGTACAGATCGAGATCGTTGATATTTGTTAAGCTTTAAGCGCCGCTTCATCAATTTTGTGTAGAGGGCTTATTATCGATTTATAAATATATTTTGTAAAATAAGTCGAACGTATAGAAATTATTTTCACCTAGAAATCTCAATGCGTCGACTAACGACAGAATGACTTCGAGGGCACGCTACGTTCGTACAAATATAATATATATATTTATAATGAAGATAAATTATATTCACGATATAATTTATCAATATATGATGTATACATCGTATATCGTATAATTGCATATAATTATATGAATGTATGATGTAAATTGTAAAGAAAATAGCACTGTTACAACGTATATGTTAAACAAAGGGTCGAGTCTGTATATTTATTAATAATATTTATTAATTTGAACGGACGTTATATAATTTAAAAAATGGCTAGACGAATTTATCTAAAATTTTAACAGTGGGTGCTGGTCTATAGTCTATAGCTAGCGATATCACTATACTAAATACTTTCAAAAGTTCATTTGATGATTATTAATTTTTACATTTAAAACGATATTAAAAACAACTATTTGAAGTCACTGATCGTATTAAAATATTGATTGCTTTTTTACAATATTAAATCTACAAAAAAAATCATTGTTTTATTGATGATGAATGACAGTCGTCACTAGAATCGCGTAAAAGTAATTCATTTATTACAATTTTACACATTATATGTATATGTAAATGTATACATACATATATCTCAAGAGCTTTACATATAAAATATTTAAAGCGTATTTTCTAATCGTTGACTTAATTTATCATTAATTTTCAAGACTCAATTTCGCTGTGTGACTTAGCTAATCATGTGAAGCGGAATAATTCGATTTGAACTCTAAAAGGAATTGATATTCGAAATCTTGGGAGAAATCTCTTCATATAGAAATATTTTGAAAATATTTACCAGTACACATGTATATCCAACATAAGAAAAAAGTAGAGAAGAGATGCGTTTTCATAAGAATATTTAAATATAGATAAACCTTATATTGTACATTCCAATGATGAAACACGTGCATTAACCACAAATGTGTGATCGAAAGAGAGTCGAGATGTATTACTCCAGCATTATTGATTCACAAACTAATAATATGTCGGTGATTGTACATCGATATAATCATAGTATTGTTGAAAAGCGTTGACGGGATACCACAAACCGATCTAAAATATGTTGCCCATATTTGGACGATTAAATAATGCAGTATTAACTTTATGCTTCGTTATCAGATATATATAATTGCGATAATTAATTATAATTATTGATTTCAAACTTCATCCCCGTAATTATAATATATCCATATATAAAAAACAAAAAAAAAGTGCAGTTTTGCAGCAATTATTATTGTGCCATAGATGCGTATGCTTATCTATGAAACATCCAATAATAAATACTACATTATGAGCTAATCGTTCAAATATTTTTATTGATTTAAATGACAATCACAAGTTTTATTTTAATAGTATTTCGTTGGTGTCAATAATAAGCGAAAGAAAGAATGTGAAACAACGCGGATTAATCTTTGGAGTGCTGGCTGCTGGAGCTGCTCGATCGCGAGCGGCGTTTAAACTTCGCTTGGCTCGTGTCCGATACGTTGTCGTTTTTCTTATACTTGGTCTTGTCGTGGCGGGAGTTGATATCGTTGTCCTGATGGGAATTAGAATTATTCCGACGTCGATCGTTGCGCTTGTCATAGTGCCTGTAATTGTCTCTTCCGGGTCTGTTGGTTCTGTAAGAATCTCGCCTACGAGGAGAATAATTTCTTCGATTCCTTCTGTCACGGCTTCCTCTACGATCGTAGTCTCTCTCTCTGGACCTTCGACGGTCTCGTGACCGAGAACGTCCGCGTCTTCTGTTTCTGTCCTTGGAGTCACGTCGCGAGTTTCGGTCATTGTAGGATCGATTAGCGTCGCGTCTGAACTTCTCATTCTTGTTATGCTTCATCTCCTTGCTCTGCATAACGTTATTTCCCTCCGTGTTTCTCTTTACGCTATCATCTTGCGCTACTTTAGCTATAGCCGCTGTCTCGTCCGTCTGATCGTTCTCTTTATTCTCCATTAATTCCGTCGGGCATATATTGTTATCTAGGTCTGGCACTTGATCATTTTCATCGGGATTATCTGCGAATCTTTTACCTCTATCAGTTTCACGTTGTTTAAAGTCTTCTTCTTTCTTCATACGTTCCTTTTCTATTTTCTGCAATATAAAACTCAGTGCGTAAGTAGGGAATAACAATTACGTGCGTGTTGCACATACTTTGATGTAATGTATACTAGAATATACCTGAAATTCGTGCAATTTGATAGTACGGTTTTGAGCTTGCTTCCAATGAGGTGGTGTTGTACTTCTGGAACGACTTCGAGAAGGAGTATGATATCGCTGAAAATTTATTTTAAAATGTGCATCCGTACTTAGGGGTGTCGTAGCAAATGGACAAGATAAATCAATGAGTAAAATCTGACGCTGTGCTTTCATTTGAATCATTTGTTCATTAGTTAGACTCGACTAAGAAATTAAGTGAACCACGGTTACGTAACAGATATCGACATGCACTTGCTGACAATTGATCGATCACTTACGAATATTCCTCTACCCTTGAAAACACGGCCAGTCTTTCTGTGAGATCGTACACGATCTCTTCCGTAATGCTGTCTAAATTCCTTCTGATTTGCATTGTTGGTGGATCCTGCTCTATACAAAAATTTATTCGCCGGTACTTCCGGAATTTCATCGGGATCAATTTTGGTAACTGACACCAGCGGATGAGGTTCCCCATCATCTTCCTCATTAGAATCCCGAATTTCACCGTCTTCCGACTTTGCTCTCTTTTTACTGAAACAAGACAATGTATTACATTTATCGAATATCCGGGACTTACAGCTTTCTCTTGCGTTTGTCGACGTACCTTTTCTTGCTCTTCTTCTTCTTCTTCGCTTTATCGGCAGAGTAAGAATCGGACTCCGACTCCGCCGAACTACTTTGCTTCGCTTCTCGTTTTTTCACTGCAAACATACACGCAATGTATTTATCAGAGAATTATGACCCGTTCAATCTTATGTCCGTGCTTGAAAAATAGAGAGCATAGGCACCTTTACTTTTGATCTTCAAAATTAATTCGCCACAGTTCACAACCTTAGCATCTTGCAACGGACGTGACATTCGGTCTACTGGAAGTCCTTCAATATGCGTAACGATCTCTTGCCCAGACACTACTTCTCCAAAAACCACATGGACACTGGAAACGAGATGTTTGCATTATAGACAAGGTAGGCTCAGGTCATTTAACGCTCTTCGGTATGTAACATCCCGAATTCAATTGATCAAAACGTGACTTATACTCACTTGTCGAGGTGAGGCGCTGGTTGTGTTGTACTACAACAACAAAATATGATTAAGGGGATGAGAGATGAACAGAAAGAGCCAGAGCTTTCATTGGTCATTTGTGTTGTAGTAGTGGTGTGCAGACCCCCTCACGACTACGCAAAAACATCGCTAAGTTATTCATTCCTCCAGAATGATTCTTACTCCTATGTTCTTTTTTTTTTCAATTATCTGCCGTGAGTTCGCCACACAAGTATCAATACTGTACAGTTCTGTGTAAAAGCCTTGCCGGGGCTTTTACCACGCAATTAAATCTGTCGACCATCTATTTGGAACATACGATACAATTGCTACGAAGATCAGCCTCATCATCGTTCGATTTCCCACATTTACATTTACTTAAACGTGGGAGAGTTCTTTTTGGTGAACGTGACTAAATATTAAATGTTACATTAACTTCACCCTGATTTACATAAAACGCCTAGTTAATGGAGCGAAAGCAAATTGTCATCCGACGAAAAATCTTTTAATATAACAAGAGAAACGCATAATAACAGCTGTGTTGTAATATCTTGCTTGCTAAAGTACCTGTTAAGGTTTTGCCTACGTACGTATAAGCAACCATATAATACAGTTATGTATAATACAGTCACAAAACCTTTGTAATAAATACTATCGTAATATATTAAACTTACGGATTTTAAGATTTACACGTGCATGCGTTCAGCAATTTTATAGAGAACAGTAAATAATACTTCAATGTACTTACATAAAAAATTGTGAGCCATTGGTATCTCTACCGCGATTCGCCATTGACAACAAAAATGGCTTGTTATGTTTCATAATAAAATTTTCATCTGCAAAAAGAATCAACGCTTGCTTGAAGAAGGCAAAGTACAATCTTCATTCATACCATTTTTTTTTCTATTAAATCATTATACTGTGTTGACTCTAGTATTAGAATCTCTCACATATTTACCTGCAAATGTACCGCCGTAAATCGACTCGCCACCCGTCCCATTACCTATCGAGAAATCTCCACCTTGAATCATAAAATCCTTTACAACCCTATGAAAAACAATGCCTTTATAATGCAACGGCTTGCCCGTCGTTTTCCCAAGTCCCCTTTCTCCGGTGCATAACGCGCGGAAGTTCTCGCACGTTATGGGACAAGTGTCCGAAAACAGCTCGAAGACTATTCTGCCCATGGGCAGTCCGCCGACCTCCACGTCGAAGAACACCCTCGCGTTAACGTTAACCATGGCGAAAGGGTTCTCCGGATTATCTGCAAGTGTCAAGAAACGAGTAATTAGCACAGCACGAATTTCAGTCACGTACAAGTTTATGCGAATATGTATAAGGAATTCAGGGAAGCATGTAACAAGTTATGTAATTCTAAATTTGTGTAATAATAAATAAACGCACACGATAAGCATAAAAGACAGAAATTTACACACAAAAAAAAAGATATTCAGAACGTAAAGTGGATTGAATAAGAAAACAAGAATAAAGTGGAGTGAAAATATGGAATGAATAAAATGTGAAAGTGTACACGTCAGTATGTTAATCGCGACAAGTCACGCCGACGAATCTCACATACGATGCATCACAATCGCCACACAGATCTTTATCCGGTATGACTCCGCGATTCCAGAGTGTCGGTACGACGGGAATGGCGTCCCGCGCCCTTTGCACGTGTCGTTTCAGGTTGAAAAAAAACCAGTAAGGACGACGGGAGGAGCCTCAAGGGCAATAATTATCGATTGCACGCGCACGTCCGTGGAAATCCTGGGAAAAAAAATTGGGCGGAAAGGTTAAAAGGTTCGCGGTGATCGCGCTCTCACCTTCTCCGAATATTTAGGATTCGGTTGAACTACTGTGGTCTCGCGAATCTGTGGAATGTGTTCGACGTGGTCACTTATTCCGATACGCGCGCACGATACGATTCCCCGGAAAGGCCCCGGGCTCGAGGGACATCGGCGATTAAAAAAGTGGCTACGTATTAACAACGTGAACGTCCACGAAGAGCGCAGTGAAGTCCGCGTACTCAACGTGCGTTTGGATGTCGGTTCTCACTTTCTGCCGCTTTACCTGATTGGTCAATCGCGCAAATGTGACGCAGTGATGGCTTCTGGCACACGAGACACGGAAACGCTTGCCGCCGCGCGGGGCAAGAAGCAAGAAGCGACGCGGTAGCCAATAAACTTTTGGTTCTTACGGAAAAGCAACACGTTGATTGGCTACCGCGTCGCTTCTTGTCGCGCGGCAAGCGGTTTCCGCGCGTCCTGTGTGCAGGGGGTCGATTACGGTTCTTGAAACGAGATGAAAGTTACAAAAGTGAGGAAATTCACTAGGGTATCTATGATTTTATTGGTCGAAATCTAGTAAATCTGTTCACTTTTGTAATTTTCACTTCGTTTCAAGGGGGTCGATTCTGTATTTTGAGACGAGGTGAAAATTACAAAAGTGAACGAATTTACTAGATTTCGACAAATGAAGTTGTAAGATTCTCTAGTGAATTTCCTCACTTTTGTAATTTTCACCTCGTACCAAGATACAGGGAATCGATTCTGTATCTTGGGATGAGGTGAAAATTACAAAAGTGAGGAAATTCACTAGAGAATCTACAATTTCATTTGTCGAAATCTAGTAAATCTGTTCACTTTTGTAATTTCCACCTCGTCTTAAAATACAGAATCGACCCCCAGGGGATCGATTACGGTTCTTGAAACGAGGTGAAAATTACAAAAGCGAACAGATTTACTAGATTTGGACCAATAAAATCATAGATACCCTAGTGAATTTCCTCACTTTTGTAATTTTCACTTCGTTTCAAGAACCGTAATCGACCCCCAGAATCGACCCCAAGAACCGTAATCGGCCCCCTTGAAACGAAGTGAAAATTACAAAAGTGAACAGATTTACTAGATTTCGACCAATACAATCATAGATACCCTAGTGAATTTCCTCACTTTTGTAACTTTCACCTCGTTTCAAGAACCGTAAAGCCCGGTGTCCACGATGCAAGAACTGTGTCCAAGTTTCGGTTTAAGCCAATCAACTTGCTGGTCTTACAGAAAAGTAGCAGTTTCATTGGCTTAAACCGAAACTTGGACACAGTTCTTGCATCGTGGACACCGGGCTGCCCCCAGAAGCCATGACGCTTCGCAGGTCCGTTTTCTAGGCGCGAAATCGTCACTAGAGCTAAAGTCCCTAGGAAATTGTCCGTGCGTGCGTGCGGCGCGGCAGAGACGCGCGTCCGCGGCCTCTGTGTGCTTGTGGCCGAGCTACAGCGATGTGTCACGGGATACTCAATTGTTTGTAAATATTTTGCATATGTATAAGCTTTTTTTACTACATTCCATTTTGACGCGATGTGAGGCCCGATCGCGAGAAAAGGTCACTCGTTTCCGCACGAAAGTGTCGCGCGATTTCGCCGTGCGTCGCGACCAGTGACGGTTCAATTCGACGATCAGCCGATATCGGCTGGTATTTAATTTAAGTCGCGGAAATTCGGTACGAATTCTTGTCAAGTTCGTTTAATTCTACAAATTGTCGTACACACCAGTTCGTTGCCTTTAAATGCGTAACTTTGCATAACTCGCGACTCCGTAAGCTTTGCGCCACACTTCTCGCGATGCATAATGCATGAGTGTTATACGTGGGGTCGGGTTATAGAATTAGATATTTCATAATCAGCCGAACGCGTGTAAAAAGAGCGGCCTCGATAGTTTTGTGATTTTGTAACTGAAAAAAAAGCGCAGGAAGATATGTAAATCGAGGCGACGAATGCCCGTGTAACCGAGTATATCGCATCTTTGCAGGTGTATGGGTAGCTTAGGATCAAGGCAGAACAATGTCGTTAGCGGCCACGCCTCGGAAATTTCCAATCTTTGTGTTTCCGCAAAGCATCACTTTCTACCTGGACGACCAGTCCACCCACAAGCAAGTGTTAACTTTGTATAACCCATATGAATTCCCTGTAAAATTCAGAGGTAACTGTCTGTCTTCTTCTTCTGGCAGATGTGTCTTTAAAACTTTGACCCTGTGTCCCTTTAATAACTCTTTGTTGTTCCAGTCTTGTGTACCGCGCCATACAAATATCAGGTGGTTGATCCAGAGGGTGTGATAAAACCTAGCTCGTGTGTCGACATTGTTGTCAGACATACGGCGATTTTGGCAAGTAACTGCAATGTGGTCGACAAATTCAGGATACTCATGCACGAATATCCTAATAAGCAGGTAATATTTATAACGTTACGTGACCGAAAGAGGCACTTGTGTATTTGGGGAGTCTAAACTCAAATCAATCCTGCTAGGTAATTGGGAAAAGAGATGTAGAAGCTAGACTACTTCCTGGAGTGATGGATACAGCTGGGAGAGCGACACCAGATCCAGATATGTTTCAACAACTTCCACTAAACGAAACTAGGCAACAAGAATCCTATGCGCTTATAAGCCGAAATAAAACGATGGATAGTGAGTAAATATTTAAAAGACTGCTTAAAGCCCCTTGCACAATGCCAGGCAACAGGCAATAGGAACAGGAAATAACCAAAAAATCGTTAATTACAACCTAAAAAATTCAAATGCTATGATTGGTTGGCAATAGGCAATAGGCACAGAATTTCCAACGTGACGGAAACTCTGTGTCTATTGCCTGTGTCACTGTTTATTCTGCATTTATACATGATTTCTGATTTCTATTCCCTGTTCCTATTGCCTGTTGCCTGGCATTGTGCAAGGGGCTTTAAACTGAACTCGAACGTTTTCGGTAAATCACAATATCTGTTTATATTTGAGCAAAGTAATAGAAATTTTATATTTCCATGCAAATAACTTTTATTTGCAAAGTTTAAACCAGTATATAAATAAAAGATTGACATATGGATTCTCTGTTGATCACGCTATCTTCAAACAAATTAACAGTGCGTTAATAGTCATGAATTATATTTTAGGAGGTACAAATTATGTAGCGCTTATCACAGGAATTATATGCATAATTGGACTACTCCTACCTACTGAAGGAGAACAAAATCATAGGATGCCTGCTTACCTCCATCTCTCTGTAAATTTTAAATTAATATTTTCATTTGTATTAGGTAAGTATGCAATTATATATACAATATACTTGTATACAAAATTGCAATAACTTTTTTGTTGCAGGTATGGTTGCAAATATCGTTTTAGGACTATAATTCTTAGATTTTTATACAAACAAACCTTTGTACACAGGATAGAGAATCGTAGGATAAAAGCACAATTAATACAAGACTTCGTTAAATTGGGCCTCCTTATGAAATGTACTCGATTCTAGTCTACAAATGACAAATTTCAACATTGTTGACTAAGATACTGATATTTGTTTTTGATAATAATTATATTATAATTTTATACGTGTGTATATATATACATATATATAATTATTTATATATATATATATATATATATATAGCATAAATAGTAAATATTTCTGTCATATATTTTTCGTATACACATGTAAACTTTATAATATAATATATTATATCATAAGAAATATCCTACCTTATTTTAAAGCAAGGTGGTCTCGATCGAAACGTATAATAAGAGATGTTCTGGCTCGTGAACTATACATCTCCAGGCCTACTGGGAAACTAATGTAATTTTATTATTTAAAACATGTATATATACCGAGGATAAATTGTACATGTCCTTTATAAACGACGTAATGTAATGACACAAGAACGTTTGTTGACGTTCATATCGCTAGTTTATATGACTTTGCATCTTTATGTTGTATATATAATCATTGTGATATATTTCGCCATTCATAATCACGATCATTTTATATATTCTAATTGCCATGATCTCATGTACAGCTAGGTAAGGGTCTTCCTGTATATAAAGTTGGATCAAACTTTAAATATTAAAAATATCTGAATGAACAATTCTCTTTTTTTTTTTTAATTTTCTATTATCCGTTACAATCTTGTGTACAAAGTACCATGTCACATGCATAACAATAATTCACAATAAGATAAAAATTCCAATTAAAAACACTTGCAACGTCTAAAGAGATAGAACAAATTTGTCGTCTGACCGTTCTTTATATAAAGAAAATTTAAAATTAATTTTAGAAGAGGCAACCATTGTTTTAAGAAACGTGCTTTCGCGAGATTAGGGAAAGACGAGATATGTGAGACTACTCGCTGACCAAGGAGCCACAAATTTTTTCTTCACGCCTTGGAAATAAGGACATTTTATTTATTTATGATCAATGTATATTCATTATTTACATAAGTTACAACACAGACACTTGTGAATGAAGTGTATCGTCAAGTGGATGTTTCCCAGTACTCGCATGTCTCATTTACTTTCTGTCAAATGTGATCCTCTGGGAAGCAATAAGAGTCGGCTGTATTTTCAGAAAACGTAACGTGATTAGAGAAAAGAAGTTTTTTTCTCTTCGGATCGAAATAATCGTCGATGTCGAACCGTTTAAATTACCTGTAAGTCTGTCAGGAAAGTTGTATAATACGTCTCGTTCTCGAAATTTATACAATTTTAGAGTCGGTGTACATTCTTCAAACTCTCATTGTGGGTTTTATACTCCATAGAGGCAGTAGGTGGAAGATGTAATACTCTTCTCAAGGTATCCCTAATCCGCGCAGTTATCGTCACATCCGACGCCGTCTTGTTCCACACACAGATTATATCCTCCTATCAAATTAACCGATTGAGATGAAAAGAACTTTTGTATTTGACTACAAACTAAAAGCAAGCACGTCTCGCCTACCTGAAATCTTATGGACACAACCGCGCCGCATATTTCTTCCCCTACCATAAATTGCTCTCCTAAAATTGCCAATATAAGATTTTCCCAGCACCTAGAAACTAAACCCTTTCGTAATCTCACTATCCACTTGCCGCCCTTTTGATTCGCCTCGTCCTAGAAGAAGTGAGAACGAGCGATAAATTTGACAAATAATATTCACGCATATTGGCTGTGTTCAGCCGAACCTCTGCTTAGGAACCTCTGCGAAGCGAAAGTTAGCAATTGAATGTGATTGGTTCTTACCTTTGGATCCAACCAATTACACTTAATTGCTACCTTTCGCTTCGCTAAGCAGAGGTTCGGCTGAACACAGCCATTGAATGGAAAATGGGCAGAATATTGCTTACCTCCCACATGGGTTTTATGCCGACTTTGAAAAGATGAAAGTCTGTGTGCGTCGTGAGATCCGACGGTCGTACTAAGTGACTGTAAAGACCCCAGAATTGCTCCACGCTCGCGAACCTGCCGACCAGCTTTAGATTCTGGTCGTAGCTCTGTATGCTGGTCTGTTTGCCAGGGCTACGCCGGCTGTACCACAGCGCGTAAGCGTACTGCAGCTTGTGCTCGTTTGGACTTATCTCTATTGGAGGCTGCAAAGGCGGACATACGGTCAATCGTCAGGTTTACATCGACGCCAACATCTCGGTGTGCGTCCACAGACAAGACTCTCTCTCTCTCTCTACTCACTAATGGACCCTTCTCCACCTTTTGATTATCCTTTGATTGAGACTCCTCGTCTCCGCTGTCCTCGGTGGCCTTCAATCTGTAAGCGCTGTCACAATTTATGAGTCAAGCATAACAGAAATATTAATTTGTATATACCTCAAGCACCCGTTTTCGTATATTAAATTAGGGGTCACCTCGATCCGATTAATCGGCAAAATTGCTCGCAGTAAAATTTCTACCCCGAGTCGCCGTTCCTGATCTTTAATTTCTTTTATTTTTTTTTTCTTTTCACATCAATGCGAAATCGATAAACACATTCTATCCACGTCAACAAGAATCCTAAATGGTGTCGGTTACAAATATGTTATCCTCTCCGTCGTCGAGGATCGGGACGGGACTCTCGCCGCCCGGACGGGAACGCTCGTGCGGACGAAACGCGACGGACGGGGGGGACGTTTGTCCCCGAGTGATTCCCAACCCCCGTCGAGATCCCGCTCATCCCGTTGGTGCGCGGTGCGCTCGAACGCGTGTGCGTCTAACCTCGAAGAGCAACGGGCCACTTACGTGTCGAATTTATTGGACATGCTTGCGGCTGCCGGGAACGTAAATACGTGCGTCGAACGGACACTGTCAAGCGTTTACGGAGACGCGAGTCGGAGTACAAAACTTCCGCGAAAACACTCGTCCCTCGCTAACTCGCACGTTGAGCCTTCACGTCCGCGGTGTTTTCGATAAACTGTTGATCTTCCAGATCTATCCTCTATCCTCTTTCTTCTCTTTCTATATCTCTCTCTCTCTCCCTTTTATATACTCCGTACTCCGTTTTTTTCCGCCGTTTTCCTATCGGAGATTTTGCGCTTACACGTTGGTCATACTAGATCGCGTATAGATCGCCGCGAAACAGCGAATTGTATCATTCGAATAAATTTAGTGGATAGTCGGCTAGTTACATAATTTAAAAATATTCAATTTAAATTATTTGAATGTTTTCAATCGTTCAATCACCTACTTCAAAACTCTTTATGCAAAATACAAATAATTTTGTGAGCGAAAATAACTTTGTTTAATTTATTTTTGTCGGTTAATTGCGCAAATGTAAAAATAATTAATGAATTAAAATTATTTGATTGTCGACTTCAATTGCAAAATGCTTCAAAAGTTTTCATACGAGATACAAAACGATTTTATAAAAAACTTTTAAACTTTGTAAGAAACCATTAATTGTCGCGGCTAATTTTTCGTGTATTAAACAACAAAAGATTAACAAATCTATTTATGAAATAGTACAAATACTATTTGATAAATTAATTGCTGATTAATTTAATCGGCAGAATTGTTTGGGGCGAAATTTCTTATCCATATTTTCGATGATAAACAATAATGAAATACAATCCATGCAATATCAAGAAATTAATCATTCTATCCAATACTATCCATATGTTAATGAAATTATACAAGTGTTAGTTGATATAAAATTAATCGAAACCAACTATAAGTTAATTGAATTTTGGTCGAAGTCATTCTATGTGCCGCAATAAAAACATTTTAAAAAATATGTGTAATGTAATATACATATATTTATTATAACATACATAAAATACATTATTAAAATACACTGAAATGCGCAGCATGTAGAATTAGAAAAATCCCCTAAAATTAAAATGTGAATTGTAGAATGTAAAACGGATTTTCCTTATAGCTTTCATTCAATTCTCGATCGCAAGAAAACACAAAATAATTCATAAACAATCCATCAAGTCGATGTCGAGTTACTTGAAGAAAAAGAAGATATAACGCGCTTAACTTAAAATATAAATTGTACATTATTATGTAATCATATTAAAACATTCATAAAATGCCCGTTTTCTTAAAATAAAATAAAAAAAAAGGGATTCCGCAAGCTGTAAGCACAATATCTCGCATAGTCGACGTTCCTAGTTTTCTCTGCTGTTGCCGACAGCGAACTCCAGCTTCAGCCTCTTCAGGATCTCCTCTCGCTGGTACATGACTTCCCTCCGACACAGTGGCGAAAACGCGATCGGGCACTCGTATTGCACGGTCTCGATGCATCTCGTGTCCTCCGCGCCGTCCGTGTCGAATCTGAATTGCGAAACGGACTCCACTGGAAAAGCAAAACAGCGCGATTAGAATAAATCCGATTAGTCTCGGCAACGTGACGTTGAGTTTATACGGTCGGAGCTGAAAGACACGTCGGAGTACAAGGCGCACACGCGAACGAGAGTTGATCGTTCAAAAATAGTTCCAGGATGTTTCCAAGAGCGATCGTTGAATAGCATTTATTTTGCTTCTTACTTTACGAGAATCGATCGCGCATTTTAAGAATTGCGCAAGAATCGTGGCCGAGATCGTGGCTAAAAGTTTATCAGGAATATATTACTCGTTTATAGTCACAAATTCTGTTCCTTAGAGAAATAAGTTCATTTTATTAACTAAAATAAAAAGCGTGGCACAAAATGCAAATTCGTTTTATTGAATTAATAAATTACAAAATAAAAATAGCCATAACGTCTATAAAAAATGCCCACCTCTTGTCTTCATGAATTTCTTCAAACAGTCAGGCTTCAAACTCTTATTTAATTTATTTTAATTCATCTCATTTAATACTTTTCAATCTTTCTTAGGAACAGAATTTATGGCACGACTACGTAGTTTAGGAACACATATCATTCGCGTTTTTCTAAGCTACAAAGATTCGTTCTCATACGTTTGCACTTGCTCTTTCTTCCTCATTGCATTCTGAAAATCTTATAAAATTTCTGAAACGTTTGAGCGAGTCTGTATAACTGCGTCAGCGATTTATACGGAATAATTGGTGCGAGACGGAAGAAAAATTCGACTGCGTTTGTTGATTTAGGCATAGTGCGAGCGAGATCCACCGTGCGTGCGGTGTCCACTTACAACAGTAGAGGTCGAAGAGGAAGCAAGTTAGATGCCTGGAACTGATGACGTAGCCGTTGTCGTCCGGTTTGACGGCGTAGTGCCCGTGTGCCACGTTACGGATCATCGGCAGGTGACTTAGATGTTCGGTGTACCGCACGGAGTATTTCCAATGTTCGTAATTCCCACCCTCGTCGATCACGCTAAAATCCTCTCTGAATTCAAATAAATCAAATGCTGATCGATTGAGGAAAAAGCTGCACAACATATATCATTCTTCCCTATCGAATTAAAATGATCTGCGTCGTTTCACATCTCTCTCTCCGTATCTCAAAGATAAAAGAATCAAAATGGAGCATACATGTATATTTCCTTTCTCTCGTTTTTATCTCTTCCTTATTTCCTCTTCTTTTTATTAATGTAATAATATTGATCGTTTCTATGCACAGTGGGCAAATTTGCGTTGAATTTTATACATATATCGCACGTCTCAAATGGTTCACACTCAAATTTTTGTATTAATTTAACATAATATTAATATGTTTAATGATGATAATGATACTACGTTAATATTTCAATAAATGCGATCTTCATTAAGTTAATTTTGTTAAAATTAACATTTTTTTAAATAAAATAAACGTAAAAAGAAAGTTACTTTTACTCTTTACAAATGTATATTTACAAACTTTTGATTAAAATAATGCGAGTAAAAGTTAGACTATGTGCAAAGTGTGTTACATTAACATTAAAAAAAAATCGTTTTTAACTTTACATTTTGAATTGATTTTAAATAAAAAAATCACAGAAAAACAATTTAATTGACATAACAAAAATATTAAGTTTACATGAATGAGCATTTAACACAAAAATTTTAATACGGCATAATTCCTAACAGAGATACACAACATTTCCAACTGCGTACCTCAGGGCATTGTCCGATTCCTTACTTACATTGTTGGGTTCAATTTTTTCATGTTGCTAAAATCGGCCACGAACTCCCACACCAGTCTGGGATCCGACTTATTTATGATGCCCTCGAACATCACTTGATGCTTCTTCTTATAAACAAACAGCGTGTAGAGAAGCAGAACGCCTAGAACGCCGTGCATGATACTTCTCGTTTTCCATTTCATGGGGTTGAGACCCATCTTCTGCGCGTTGGAAAAAAAGAAAAACTGATCGTCATTTGCGTTGCATCGAAAATGAGCCGGCTCATTCTAATCCTCGGATGCATCGCGGAGAGAGATTTCCAAGGCTCTCTTTGTGGCGTTTGCTTCTTATCGATATTTTTCAAGTATCTTCGGTCACACAATTTTTCCCCTTTCTAAATAATTTTTAAGGAAATCGCTCCTTTAACGTTCTTACACGATTTATTAGAATAAAATCATGCATCATCCAAGGATTGCTCTTGCACCCAATCTCAATTTAAAATAAAATTTCAAGACCTTTATTAAACTAGCAACATTATATAATTGTAACTATAAAGATAACAACGAATGATGTTGCTGGTTTGATAATATATTGTTCAAATTTTACTATATCTAATTTTATTTTATATTTAATTTTATTATGCAATTGTGTTAAAATACGAGCAGGTTTCGGGCTCAGAAGTGCTGTCCGGTATTTCATTTTTACAGTAATAAGATGCGCAAGTGAAGCGAGTGGAGGAGTGCGTTCCGAATATTAGTGTTCTAAAGACGCGATTTCTTCCAGAAGCGTGCAAGATATAACGCAGAACCCTCGCGGAGATCCAGCGTGCTCGGATGCGTCACTACGAAAGCAAGACCTTGTTAAATAAATGAGATTCTTTTCGCACTTACCGCACCGTCGGGAGGACCGTTCGACTGGCGCGGCTCGGCGCGGGTTCGCGGGCACTTCCGGTCGAAAGCCTTATCAGTCCCGATGCAATTTCGAGAGACGGCGATAGGAGAAACCTCGGCCGGCGAGATAGCGGCTCTCCGCCCGACGCGCTCCGATCCCACACTGGATCCCGCCCGTTGACCGGTATCTGGCTTTTTTCTCTCTCTCTTTCTCTCTCTCTCGCTACGCCTCGTCGCTACGTCACGCTTTGTATGAATGTAGATGTGTTCCAGGGCCTCCAGGGCCGGCAATAGCGAGAGATTCCACGACGCGCCTCGTCGAGAATCTGTACCGCCCGCACAGCCGGGAGAGAATTCGTCTCGTTACGTGATGAAAAATTTATTCGACATTCATCTTGCACATACATCTTTTTTTTTATATACACAAAAGGGTGATTCCCGATTCTGGCGTTTAATCGAGTTGTTCTCCTTTAGAGAGCATGGATTTCACGTGCTCCGGTAGCCGAGTATTGAGTTCGTGGGTTGTAATGGAACTGGAATTCATGGAACTGATGTTCAACAGTCGCACCAAACCGCTTTGGTAGCCCGTCGCGAGCCACAGATAACTCCATGCATTTGGATTCCAAGTCATCTAAAAAAAATATATATATATATTAATTTTATCTTCTATCAGCGCTTCGTATTTAGTTACGTTTCTATATCGAGAGCAAAGAAAATCCGTGATTCTTGAAACGTGCTTTTTTAATTATTTCGAGGAAAAATAGAAGAATCTTCGCCAGCGTACCCGGTTTACAGAAGTAAATGGAAATTGCTCGATAGGGAGAGACCTCAGCTTGTCGTTGTTCAGACTATTCTTCAGCTTACCTCGGGCGACATTCTTTCTCAAATTCTGAAATAGAAAATTGATTAACGTTAAGATGTAAGATATTACGAGAGAAACGTTTGGCAACTTACCGTTAAATTATCGTGGAAAATAACACCAAAACGATCTTTGCATTTGTCATAGGTTTCTGGCATGTAGTAATATTCCTTGGAACTTTTTTCATCATTACTTTCATCGCTATGTTGTTGCTCCTCTAAGAGATCCACCGTCTGGATGAAAGAGTTCAACTGCGACAAATTATAAAAATGTATTACAACAAAATACTTAATTACATTACGAATATAACGATGTAAGAAGGTACAACTTCCTACCTGTCTTTTCTTAGGTAACAATTTGTCTCCATTTGCACTCAACAATTGATGAAGAAAGACAGTCATTACTTCTCCAGCTAAAGTGCCGTGTGCAATAGCATTAGCATGATCAGAAACAGCGAGGCCCTGAAAAATCAAACATTATATCAGGAAAGTGTACGCTCGATCGTCATCTGAAAGAGACGAGCAGAGGTAATGTGTGATGTTCTTACATAAGTTGGCGAGTTGGTCGCTAAAATTGGACAATACTTGTGTCCGAATTCTCTCACTGGCACCACCAAGGTATGCATATAATGGTACCTAAAGAAATAATCGCGTCAGAAGTGACTTTTGTCGGTTATTTTAATCCTCGCGCGCGATAAAATAATATCTACCCAATCGCATCGTCGAAGCTAAGAACTGCACAGGGCCAGTTGGTCATCCACACGCCGTTCACTACTATGCCCCTCTTTACACAACTTTGTGGCGTGCCTGTCTCTTCCAGATCCCAAAATTTATACGATTTGTCTACACTGGCGGAAGCAAGGAATCGGTTTTTGTCGTGTGGAACTAGTGCCACCACTATGCGAAAGAACAAGACAATGCGTTTATACACATACATTTTTTTTCCCATTCCCTTGAACGAGACAAGATGCACTTACTGGTAATTGCGTTATGATGAGCAAAGAAATGTTTGAATGCGTCTATGAATTTTGTATTCTTTCGTTCGGTGAGCAAGAAAGGAGAGGTAGTCGTGAGGTGCCACAATCCGATGTAACCGTTCGTGAAACCCGCCGCGATGATGCTGAAAAGATATTTACAATTATTCTCACAATAGATACGTAAATCGTAGGAAAAATTATTTAGATCGCGAATATATTACTCGTGTCCGTGCCCCTTCGTCCACGACAGCTTGGTGCACTGCCAGTCTTGTTTGCCAGCGTCATACGTAAGAATATTTACAACCAGCGTTATTACCGGATCGGTCTTGTAAATCGGCCACCTTAAACGCAAAAATCGCATAAGAATTTTAATGAATAACGGAAAGAGAGATAATAATGTGCAATCAAAAGCAATATAACTCACGAATTATATTCCGATTTCTCGAATTTAAGTTCGTCCGGAAACGGTAGCGAATAAATATTTATACATCCGTCGGAGCATGCAGCCGCGAGTAATCCCATTCGTCTGAGCTTATTTTCATCCATTTTACAATTTTCAAGATCGACATCCTGATAACATCCTGATGGGCACCACTCTAAGCACCAAACTGTACCATTGTTATGCGCAATCGCATAGGCTAAGACAGGTGATCTTTTTTCGCTGTTGACTCTGAAAAGACGTAATACAACGTAATTTCAATAACTTTATAAATGGTCGTAATGCCTTGAGTTACTTACTCGTGATTTAGAGGTCCAACATCCCATATCTGTATGACGTTTGGTCCCGAATATTTCTTTCCCACGGTATATTGGCTTTCCATCGTGGGATGCGTGCTAATTGCGATGTATTGCGTCGGGTTCTTGGAATACATCGGTGATGGAATGGGCAGCCATGCTAACGCCCATACAGGACCGCCGACGAAAAATGTTGACACATCTAAAACAATATTACAATTGCATTTTTTTCCGAGAGGTTCTTTGCTAAATATTTCAATGTATCATAATTTATAGTAAATTTATAGTAAAATCATGTAAATTACCTTTACAAGTATCACCCTCGAACCTATTTATGCGTTTCCAATTGTCATCAGAACTCTCTGTATTTCCCGATGAATTGACGCTTACACGTTTGAAAGCCATCGAAGCCGTTTGCTCTGGCAAATACGTTGCGGAATCGCTATCTCCCAATAACGTGAAACAATTCGGCGCATCATCTTCGAACAATGCCAGTTCATAATTGTTCAGCTCGCTGTCACAACAAAATTGTAGATAAATCAAAGATTTTTAAATAAAAAGTTAGTTTTGTTAATGTGAATAGAAGATAAACCGTCCAGTAGTTGAATTGTGGTTAAAAATCAAAGTTAAACTTTGAAAATATTTGGAACACACACGCAAACTAATCATACTTACAAATCCAGAGTCCAACATAAAGCTTGTTTATAAGTTGGTTGCGGGACTAAGATAGCCGTGCTTTTGCTTTTACTGCAGGTCTCTAAAATTTCAGAGATATATCCAGTTAAACTTGCCAATTAAGAGTAAAATATGGCTTGTCTATTCGCGACTTACTTGTACTATCGGAGTTTATTTTTGAACGACGTAACTTTAGTTTTACACTATATTCGGACGAATCGGACAGACTCTCATATGAGTCCTCACTTTCCTCCGTCTCGTAATCGGAACATTCATCTACGTCCTTGTAGCTAGAATGAGCCTCTTCTATATGATTTACAATCTCATCTCTAGAATCCGCGGCAAATTTGCAAATACTGCACATGAAATTCTAGAAAAGAAAGAAATATTGTTCTTTCATATATTTCATCACTCTTTCAAGTGTAATAAAAATTATGAAATACGATACGTACCTCTTGTGGTGCAAAATCACATTGACTGTAATGTTCGCAGATAGTTTCGTAAGAGGAGCACGTGAAAGTGCATCTTATTTGTTTACAAGACGCGATACCGTTTGAATCTAATTCCTTTCCCCACATAACTTTCCAAGTGCTTGGTATTTTTTTCTTTTCGGACGTTTGTATTATTACATCGTCCTAAATATATTAACAGTATATTAACATACATATTATATATATGATAAATGACAAATATAAATAAAATTTTAATATAAACTGGAATTTATATTCATTGGAATTTATATTCATTACCATGCTCAGATTTTTCTCTTTCAAGGATTCGGTGAGTTCCAATATCTTTGGTACCGCTCTGTAATTACAAAATATATGCGTGTAATACATGTATACATATAGCTTTATTAGTAACCGTAATTTAAGTAACTTTTAATTGAAATTTTGTGCCTACTTTTCTGCCGCTTTCCGTTTAGTTTTTTCCATTAGTAAATTTGCTTCTTTAATTTTACTATGTTCTTGTTGCCTGTGGAAACGTTCATGTACTTCCACGGAGGAAGGCATCATAATTGCTTCACAGATGGGACATGTCACCATTAACGCTTCCCTTTCCTAACGCAATAAGATAGGTGACAAACCTTTTAGTAAAATGCCACATGTCATAATATGTGTTACGCAACAAGTAGACTTTTTTGCGCTTACTTTTTCGGATTTACCGCAAAATTGCAGATGTGATATAAAACCGTTGACACTCCGTTTCGTAGCGTTACATCGTTCACAAGCCAGAAATTTGCTCTTTTTTTGCTTTAGAGTAGAAGTCAATACTCTCTTTAGTAATTTTTCGTCATTTTCAAAATCCTGTATACATAAACAAATTTGTTTTTCGTATAAATATTTATTAATAATATAAAAATCTGCAATGCGCAATCGAATATTTTATTACCAATGGCTCCTCATCCGTTCGCCAAGTCATGTTATTATGTTGATGTAAACTATGCCAAGACCATTGTTTCTTCGGCATTTCCTTATTGCACTTGGCACAAGTCACCAATGGTTCCTATAAGTAAAAGTCTTGATTAAATTATTCACGTTATAACTTTAATATGTTGTAGCGGAGATCTCTAAAATATATATTGCAACTTACAGCTTTTTCAATGTTTTCAATGTTCGAATCCGTAGCTGCGTCTGTGTCATCTATCTTGTTACTCTCTTTCGTTGATTCAGGCTCTTTCGGTGTTGATCTAGGAATGTAATTGGTATCTAAGGAATTTCGCGATGTTCCTCTGCCGCGTCCTCGACCGCGACCCCGACCGCGGCCTCCAGAACCAGGTCGTCGACCTCGTTTCCTGACGAAAGTTGTATCTTCTGCGATATCACTTTCATCGCTTAAGTCGCTTAAGTCGCTTAAGTCGCTTTTCCCGGTAATCTTAATTTTACTAGCCCGTCTTTTGTTGCGTGTCACAGATTCGGCAACGCTTATATCGGGAATTTCTTGCGACGTATCGCAGTCTCTCGATTTGTTCAGCGTGCTCGGATCCGTGGAATCATTTATTACTTTCCTAGGTCTACCCCTTTTCTTCTTGACATTTGGCATCACATCTTGATGTGTCGCTTCATTCTCATTATTTTCATTTATTACTTTCCTAGGTCTACCCCTTTTCCTCTTGACATTTGGCATTACAGGTAACGGGTTTTGTTCGTCATTCTCCACATTTATCTCACTTGTCACATCTTGATGTATCGCTTCATTCTCATTATTTTCATTTATTACTTCAGATACCGTCTTCCGCATACTTGTGTCCTCGTCAGGTGCGACTTGTTGCTCAATTACAAGTCCTATACATTTTCCCATCGATTTTGGACCGTTATCTGCAATCGTCAATTGCATACTTTCCGTGAATGATTGCGTCGAACTTGGCAATTTGTTCTTATTTTTAACTAATATCGACTTTTTCTCGTCATTATCTTCGACAGAAGCTCTCAAATCCGAAGGCAGTGATCTTGTTGGTTTAGCTGGTAGTGCAGTTATCCGATTCCCGACTTCCTCAGTTTCTCCCTTTTCTTTCAAATTAACATCGTGAGTTAATGGGAAAGAATTACTCGATATGCGATCATTAATTTTGCCCTCCTGGAAATTCCTTTCATTTTTATCAGGTACATTCTTGTTATTAACTAAATGAACATTGTCCTTTCCATATAAATTATTATGTACAATGCTTGTACCACTGTCTCTGGATATTGCCGAGACGTCTGTGTCTCTCACTTCCACAGACGACGTTCCCGGTTTATTACATTTAACGGAGGACAACAGTTTCCTTCCAGAAAATGTCTTTGGGGTACACTCTAGAAATGTCTTTCTCATTTCATTAAGACAATCAGATATTAAATTGGTTTCACTGCTTGCTACACTGCGCAAGGCAATTGAATTACCAGATTCAGGTACATCGTTTCTGCTATCTAAATTTTCTCTCCCTATATTTATCTGTCGGCCTGTACAGCCCGATCTTCGATCATTGCTTCCTATATTGATGAAATCCTTCAAGTTACTCTGAGTATGAAGTAACCGTGTATCTTTGTGTAAACAGTTCTCGTCGTGCGTATCTAGAATAATGGATGTCTTACCACATTTATTATTTTTAACATTGGGATACCGATGAATGTCCGTCGCCTCGTCTTGCCTCCTATCCATTTCTGATAACAGGATACCTTCGTTTGAAGTAGACGCTTGAATTGAAAAGTTAAAGGTATCATTAAATGCCGTCTTGAAGTGGAGTTACAGAAAGTAGTAAGAATACCTACCGCGAGCTGTGTCATTAATACAATCCTGTAGCTGCTCAAAGTCGGGAGGAGGTAACATCGTGTCAACTTTGGATGTTGTTCTAGGTCTATCCGGGCATTTACTTCTTCTAAATGACATGTCAGACGAGCTGTCCCTTTTCGCCGTCTCTGTCTCTCTTGTTCGCAGGATACAAAGAGGATACAAACTGGAAAAATTGAATCTCTATGCTTCAACCCAGGGACATCGGAACGGAGAGTTTAATTTCACCTGTAACACAATTATTGTTTTTTTATAGCACATGTTCTTGGGAATATCGCTTTATTTCGTGATATTTTCTGGTGACGATAAATAAAACGGGGAAAAAAAGTGAGGGGAAAAAAAGGAGGCCCAAAGGGATTCGAACGTGGAACGCGTGACATTAGGGTCCGAGTAGTCCAACCTCTTGTTTACTGCTCTAAAAGCGAACTCGCGCCTTCCGTGTGTTAGAAGACGAACACGTTACCCTGTTCGTTCGCCGATACTCCGAGCGGAGTGTTCACAATTCCTGCAGTTCTGTCGTTATAACGAAGCGATTTCGCGATTCCTCGTCATTTTTGCAACGTAAGCGGACAGCGCGGATAGGTTATACGTGTCGTCTGTGTGTTATAAGTTATAATTACTATAGAAAATGCGCGCATATGCGCGTTACGGAACGTACGTGGCCTGAGTCATCCACTTTAATTTTTCTTAATCGAAGTCTACGCACTTATCGCGTACGAATGCGGCGTATCGCGCGATAAAAATGCAGTTTTTTTTCCCCCTTTTTTTCGTATCTGCCGTTGCGTGCTCGAGTGCCCGCGTGCATCCTTTAAGCAAGGGCACACACTTCTCCGTAGAACGTAACAGTAAGGTTTCGACCACGCGCGTCGCTCGATTCGGCCGTCTGTAACCGTAGAAGTAAGAATCGAGCTACGCGATTGGTCGAAACCTTACTGTTACGTTCTTCGACGCGCGTGTGCCTTGCCGGGCCGGGAATGGCGCGATATCGATCGACCGTCGCTTCATTCGCAACTCGCGGCGTGCACATAACGTGCCCGCCGGGGGCTGAGTGGGCTCTACTTGTTCCGAATCAAATCGAGGAACTTATGATTAAATATTGATTAAAAAACCGACGTTTTAACGATACCTTTCAGAAATATTGAATTTGAAGATTTCTTAATTCTTTTAATTTTTAATATAATAGAAATTTTACAAATACTAATAAGTGTACTTTTTTTTAGATATCTTGGTTTTACACAGTATTGTTCTTTTTCTAGTGCACATATGTAACGTATTAATCAGGTGTATGTGAATAATTGACAACGGGAAACACGAGTTTAGTTAGAGGATTTTATTTACGAAGATTTCTATAAACTTAAATCATCCTTCTGAGGAGCTCGTTGACTTTATCCTCTCGGTTGCCGAAGTCGCCGCCTTCCACGTAATGGTTGGTCTTCTTACGCCACCCACCGTTTGGCGTATTAAGCTGGAAAACGCATCGAGAAATGATTTTTGATACAGATACGCAGCGTTGTTTCCGAAGGAACAAAAGTGATCGAGATACGAAATGCTCGTTCTTAAAGTATCGAAAAGAATGTTTGAGCTCGTCTTAAATTTATGATATCAAAATCATTCATCAGCAAGAAAAACTCGTATTGCTCTTCGACATAGTAGGAGGTTAATAGACTCTGGATTAATCTACAACCATGCCTATGTCGCGGTACAAAATATCATGGTTTTTTTTCTTAATATCTTGAAGGGCGCATACCTTGAAGGGCCATAGGAAGTTGCTGGCGAACTTGAACTTCGGACCGACGGTGAATATCTCGTGGATCAGGTCTTCGGTACAGATGATATTAGATCGACCTAAGTGTGAAAATAAAATTTTCTTCTTTCGATAAATTGTTCTCCGACCGTGACGCAAAGTCGATATCAACTCATACACATGTATAAATTACTACAGTTTTTGTATCAATTCGAAAAGCACCTAACTATGGCGATTATATAGTCAGGCGATGAAAAAAATTGCTTTAATTTCCGACAAACTGGAAAGGAGAATACGTATGTTTCCGAGACTCCCATGGATTCGTCAGCGAACTATTTTCCGAGAATATGACGTGCGCTATTCGCGGTCTCGTTAATTTTACGGGCAATCGATCTGATAAATTTGCAGAAATATTAGGGAACAGTTTTGCACTAACCAAGCTTCTTCTCGATGATGGAGTTGCTGGTGATCGGTACGCGCTGCTTGTTTATCTTGGCAAAGCCACGTTTGTAGATCAATTCCCGCACCGACTTCAGATTCGGGTATCCCCACGTGATGTACGGTTCGACGATGCGCAACATGTTGATCGTAGCTTTGTTTAATTTCACGAAAACACCATTGTTGATCTGTTTCAGGCGGAACAGCTGTAACACCTTTCGTACCTTGGGAGCCACTTGGTTCACACTGGAATAATTGCGATTACATTACAATCGAGACTCTTTGTAAGAAAGATAGGCATGACTTACGTTAGCGACGACATGCTCATACTCACCCTCGAATACGGATAACAAATGCAAGACGCGCTTCGCCGGGAATGTAATAATTTCCACGGTTCTTAGCTTGTCTCATCAACCGGATTTCATCCCTCTCCTTCCTCCTGTATTCCTTCACATATTCTTCAGCTCTTTTGAAGATCTGCTTCCTCTTCTTGTAGCGATCTGCGCGTTGCTGCAAAATAATACAAAATAAAAATCAGAGTTGGTCGCACAATCCTTTTTCTATTCGAAGAAATATAAAAGGTTCTGTAGTAGAAAAAGGGAAATAAGCTTTCAGATCGTTGTAACATGATTACCTTAATGGATATTTGTACGCGCGCAGCTTTAACTGCCTCTCGGCGTTTTCTTCTCTTCAACACCGACTCCGGCACCGCCGGGAGTTTCTTGGTCGGAGGAGGAACAGCAACTTCTTTCTTCCTGCGTGAGAAAACAAGCGTGTATAGAATAGCTTTGCCAGACTCTCGAGTGTACACATGTTTGATAAACCACGTAAACTCTCGCCAAAGTTAGGTTATGTCAATCGCGATATTTAATCAATTTTTTAGATTTCACGCGATATACAAACAGTAAAGTGAATTTATAATCGATGGGAAACAAGTTCATTCTGGTGTACGCGTATATTAGTAAACGATATTGCCGTCCCGTGAGGGACGACGACGCACTCGCAAACTTCGAGCTGACAATCCCGTTTGCTCGCTCGTTCAAAGTAAAAATATGGATTCGTTAATACGCACGCATCATAGAGGATTATTAGTACGACATTTTTGCATTCGCGAAATCATGCTGTCGGCTGATGCGGCCGGATTTCGCGAGCCATCCAAGTTTACTTACGCGTCAGCCATTCTTACACGCGATAAAGGACCACTTAACACTTAACCTCTCCTTGCCTCGCGGCACCTTGCGGCCAGAGAAACAGCTCCCGCAAGTCCCGCACGTGGGCGCGGTAAAACGTCACGTGGTCGCAGCAACGTGCAACGCGACGGCCAATCGCCGGAGTGTTGGACTGAAAGCGAGGAGCTCATTGGTCGAAGCGAGAATTACGAGATTCCCCAGATTATTGCGCTTGAGATTTACGGAACAGAAAAAAAATCACTAGATAACTTAGTGAGATTGCCATTGGCCGCATTCAAGAAACACAACTGTTGAGTGAGCGGTCAGTGATTCTTTAATGTGATTGGTTCTTACCTTTGGTTCTACTCCGGATCTAAGTGTAAGAACCAATCATAATGAGCGCTCATTCAACAGTTGTGTTTCCTGAACGCGGCCATTGTACAAAAAATTTTTAAATTTCCACGGTCGAAATATTTAATAAAATATATTTCAAATAATTTGAAATTAAATGCATTTTGTCTTTTTCTAATTAAAAATTGCGCATGCAATTTACGCTTCACTTTATGGGCACAATTTGACAATGTTTTTTATTTTATATGTTGAAAATTTCTACATGAAATATTTAACACTTTAAAATATGTAATTTAATTCAGTTCAAATATATATCTATTAAAAATTATAAAAATTATAATTTGCGCTGCATTGGGAGAGCTCGATTTGACGATGCTACTCCGCTTTTTCAATTTTTAAATTAATTGCAAATTACAGTTAAACGAAAAATATTAAAAGTCAAAGCGCGATATAAATTTTATTTTAATTATAATGTCTGCAACAAATTAATAATCACGCAGAGAATTTTCAATTTTGAATAACTTAAACTTGAATAATTTTTAGAATTTAAGTGAGATTTAATTTCATCAAAGTACCTACAAGGATAATATCATTAAATCTGGTTGGGAAAATAAAAGGCAGCGAGTGTTAGAAACTCTTTATTAGTTACGTCTGTATAAATATCTGGATTTTAATCATGGCAAAAGAGATTAATAATACAAACCATAATAGTTAACCGTAATAATATCTTCCGTCGTGTAATCAAGATTAATAATAATAATAATAAGTAAAAAGAACATTGTATATAATGTGCTGATATAACGTCGTAACATTCCGTGAAAAATAGATCTAAAAAATATTTCTATGTATGCGTACAAGAGACAATTACAGAACAACTATTAAAAAAATACCTTCTATATAATATAAATCGTTAAAACAATATGCGAAACGTTATTACATTCACAAAGATCGCTGCGTTTCTTGTATATATATGTAATACATATATCTATGTATACATCTCTCTCTATTTATTATGTATAATTCGTCATTTTGCGATGCATTTGTTATATATCATGGCACATTCGTTTAGAGATATAAAGATCCACACAAACCGTTTGCGATGCGCGCTGTTTACGATCAAGATCAATCTGTTCAAATCCAGTCAAATTTTCGCGTATAAATCCAAGAAAATTATTCGCAAAATAACACTGCATGCTTCTCCGTCGTTTTATAATTCACAGCGTAATCGCGACACACGGAACCAAAATCGGCTAGCGAAATCAATCAAAAATAAAAGAGATCGACCATCCTGACTCGTCTCGTTATTATTAAGATCTTAAAGAAAGACATCTCCAAGCTCGCGATGGGCGATCCCTTTTAAAGGTACACGACGGTAAAACACAGCACAGCGCGCATCGCTTTGGAAGAGCTCGACGTTTTAGCCGTTCGGTTGGCCGACACACTCGTCCACACATGCATTCCATTAAACACATTAGTAAAGCATTCGATTTTTGGTAATATTAGAAATTCCTTAAAGTCGTACTACGAGCGCATTAAATGTGAGGGAAGCGGCAGCTCGCTGGCAGCTCGGTAGGCACTTCTCTCGCTAGACGATCGCGATTCCGTCGTCGACGCGACGCGGGGATTACCCCGAATTTCGTATATAATAAGGGATACTTGCGTAGGCCTATCTAGTCGCGAAGGCGAATAACAATTGCACTGAACGATCACTCGTTGGAAGCCTAGCTGGGCCTCGAAAAGGTCAGCTTACAATTAGTAAATTCAATTCGAAAACGAGCTACCGCCTGCAGATTAACGGTACGTCCCTACACTGAGAAAAAAATGTCGTTAATTTGACTAAACTCGTTTAGTTGTAGTGATTTGTTTAATGCAAATATTAATATATTTAAATCAAATATACGTGAGTAATATTAAGAAATTCTGAATTTATTTCAATATAATATTTTTTGAATTAACAAATGTTTGCTTGACAGCCCGTGACCGCTGCATTTAGTTAAATCAAATAATATTTCTTTGAATCAACGATTTTTTTTTCTCAGTGTAACAGCACATATCGTTCAGTAAAATGTAATTAAAAATATACCTAATATAGAGAGAAAACATCCCTATAATGTCCTATATTTTTATACTTTTAGCCTTCGAACATTCTCAGAATCTACATGCGCTGTTAGAAGTAGAATCGTTGCGTAGAAACAAACGTAAGGGGTAAAGAGACAATTTGCGACAGGGTGGAGGATTCTCAGAATAAATAGAAACGCCAGAGGGAGGGTGAGGGTTAATTAAGAAAACGGAAAGTGTTAATAGAGCGGTGGCGCGTCGCCGGGCCTGTCCTCGGCACCGCGCGACATCGGGAAAATTAATAAAATTAAATGATATGTTGCTTCTCTTGTTAATCCGGTGGTTTCTTAACCGTAAATGAGTAAACGTAAAATTAACTCTACATTAAACCAAGCGCATAATTATCTCTATCGTGGTCGAGCTGTATAAGCAAAGGAAAAAAAAAAGAAACGAAGAACCTACTGTGCGAATGCGAAAGTAAAACGGTCAGCGTTCTCTTACATTCGACGTAATTGTTACGTCAACTCGCGTTTCGTAAAATTGTATGGCTATCGAGAAAAACGATCCATGGCTCGCGGCTGCGAAAACATCCACGATTAAATACGTTCGTAAGGCTGCTGATCGAAAGCACGAGTGTTACATCTACCTAAGGGCACTTCCTATCGTTTCGCTAATAAATAATCCTGCCGCGTTATCGTTCCTCCTTGTTTCAAAGCGTCGCAGGCTCTTAACGCGTAACGGAAATCACTTCGTTGCTATCCGTTCAAGAATTATCCTCGCATCAATCTCATTTCAATTTCAAAAGCTCGATACGTCGTTGATATCGATTGAGAAAATTGTTTATTGTACTAAAATAATTTTATCTGTACTTTATATCGCAATTTTAGGCTCGAATTTAGATTTAGGTCACTTTTTTTTCTTTGTTTCCGGACGAAATTATCGCTTCGATTGTATACAGCGGACTTCGTTATTCTCGCTTCTCACTGCTTGTCCTCGTAACGAAAGGTCTTCGTGTTGGACTCCTGCCGACTCGACGTCGTCATAGTGACGGTCTTCTTTTCCGTGACTTTGTGCATCGACTGCTTCATTGTGCGTTCCTCGACGCTGTCGTTGCCCTTGAACGTCGACAATTCGTTGCCGGACGTGTACTGCTTGGTCTCCTCGGTGGTCTCGTAGTTGGAGCTGCTGGTACTCTTGCCGGGCGTGGACGAGTAGACCTTCGTCGTGACGGTCTCGATTCTGCCACCGGGGATGACCTTGCTCTCAACATTCTTGAACGTTTGATGCTGCGGGATACCGCTGCTGAATCGCTGAGTGTCCACCTGCTTCTCGGAACGGAACGTGCTCATCGGACTGACGCCCGAGAACCGATCAGTCAGATACTTGGGCTGATCCTGCGGAGACTTTCGGTCTTCGGTAACTTGCTCCTGGACGATCTTGGGAGTCGGGGACTTCGAGATGGAATACGAGATGTGCTGGGGCGGCGGATACGAGGCGAATCCGTCCGCGTGTTTTCTCTCCGTGACTCCGTAACTCTCCTGATTGATCCTTCGCTCGATTGAGCTGTACTGGCCGGGTGAGTTGTCCGTTATGATCTTTCTCTCGGTGACGATGTACGGACTCCTGTCTTGAAAACCATCGATAGTGTACTTTCTGTCCAGAGATCCGTATTGATCCACGGTAGACCGGTACTGACTGTCCTTCATCTTTCTCTCGAGCGTGCTCTGCGTCGAATGTACCTTTTCCGGGCTTACCAAGGTCTGCTGATCGGCAAACTGATGACTGATGTGCTGCGTGGTGGACTGCAACTGATCCAGGGTGTGATTCATCGTCTGAATAGGCGAGGTCGTGGTCTGCGGCTCGTACGCCCTCGTCTCGTACCGGGTGGTGTAACTCTGGTAGCCGCTCTGATCGCCACCCGCCACGTCGCCGTCTCCGTCGGCCAGATCCGGCCGATTTTTATATTTGGCCAGACGAATGGCGGTCAGCCTGCCTCGGGCCTCCTCCAGCTCGCGCTCAATTCGCAAGACCTCCGAGCGTGCGTCGATTTCCTGCGCGATACCGCCCACCATGCGGCGGTTCAGGACCAACGATCTGTCCTCCTCCTGCTGGATAGCCTGTTGCGCAGCACGTACGAGATTATCGGTAGCACGTTTCACGGCGTTACCGGCCGCCTGCAGACGTTTCGTGCTCTCGCTGTCAGGGTCGGCTTTGACCTTGCAAGCGACCAACAGTTGCGCCGTGCTGCTGGCAACCTGCTTAGCGCTGGAAATCAACTTTTCTTCGGAGCTTACTCCTTGAACGAGAGCGTTCGCGGATTCCACGAGGCTGTGGGTGGCGGCCGCCACCATTCGAGCGGCCGAGATCAGACCCTCGGACCATTGGCCGTCATCGGAACTGGTCAGCGGCGTGCGTGCCACTTTGCCGGTCGCGATGAGTTCTCGTTGCGCGGCACTGGCGGCCTTTATCAACGCCGAAGTGGCGGCGGCGATGGATTTCGCGGCTTCTAGAATCATTTCGTCGAAATTCATGTCCTCGTTAGCCTCCTGTCGAGCGAGAGAATATGTATTACAAAATATAATATATACTAACAATTAAAATTGAAATTACGCGGCCTTAGAAAATAATTTTTACAAATTAAGATAATCCGCCATTGACTTTTTTTTCTCTATACAAGAGAAAAGAGGTCTTGAAGTATCTTTAAGAAAGAAATTCTGATAGATAATTCTATTCGTGAAACAGAAGTTAATAGAAAACACGATGAATCTTTCATATCAATATATTATTATACGTGTCTCCTATTTCCTTAATTAATACTCCATTGCGAACGTTGACTTTTCCAATCGCCGTAATAATATGTTCGATTCTCGGTCGATCATTCACAACGACCAAGAAAATCAAACATATCTCGCGGGGACTGGAACGACTCGTACCATCCACGTGTGTGCCGTACCGCACCTGTTGCTTCGCAAAATTACCACGGGGTTACCACGTGGATACAACTCACCTGGATGCTTCTCCTCGGTCTCAGACTAGCTAGCTTCTTGGCAGCCGCGTCGATACTGGCGGCCGCCCCGAGTAACTCGTTCTCCGCGATCACCGTGGGATCGTCAGGGTCGACCCAGTCGTTGCCCTTCAACAGCTCCGCCACCGCCACCAGCTCCGTCACGCTCTGCGCGATCTTGCGCGAGATCACCGGCAAGGTGTGCTTGGCGTCGCCCGACCTCGACGCTATCTGCAGGATCGCCTGAAGCAGCTCTCGATAATTAATGGCGACATCGTGCCCCGCCTGAAGGGTACGCTCGCACAGCTCGGTGGTCTCGGCGCAATTGTGGGCCGCGCCCTTGCAGATGGACAGCATGTCGCTGATGGCCTTCCTGCCCATGTTGGCGGCGGCGATTATGTCGTCCTGCTTGCAGCTGTTCCCGGCCGCGACCGCCTTCGCCGTCGATATGGTGATGCTCTTCGTGCAGCGCACGAGATCTTCCGGCGTCACGTTGCTCCTCAGCGTCTCCGAGCTGCTGAGCGCGCGGATCTCCTGGGCTATGGCCTCGATCGTGGACTCCAACGCTCTGGTGCCGCGTGTGTGCTCGTCCTCCACGGCCTTCACCGTCTTCAGCAGCGACGTCACGTTGGTCACCATCACCTGTGGACGAAGATTGAATGTAATTTCAAGGGCCGAATCGCTAGCTTGTAACATTAATATCTGCGAGAGAAAGAGAGAGATGGAATACATAGTTAGTGAGTATAAGTTAAAGTTTTAGTGGTGATCTTAAACTGATGAGTAAATACGCTTAAATGCAAGTAATAGTACTATTGCAATGTGTTAACATACGCGAGAGTAATTAGCGCATGTTATGGTTACATGAACCTATCAAACGATTTTCTAATAACGAAATGATAAGCAGAATTATGTGGAAGCGTTAAGAAGCCTGTCAACAGTTCAAACGGAACGCTGTGAATGGAATGTACGTACCTAACGATGATTCGCCTGACAAAGTGCATTTTGGATGTAAACTCAATTAAGATAAGATTGGAAGACCTCGAAATAAATAACTCGCTAACGCGAAGAAAGTGATACATTTCGGCAAAATTATGTTACATGCCATTTTTTCAGAAAATACAAAGAGATGATATTACATACTTCTTTAATCAATTATTAGAATGCAAGGAGCGACGATGTCTCGCCGATATCTTGCACAATTTAGCAACTACATCGTGTTCTACGTAGAAGTATCGTGTACATAACATGGCTACATATCGATTATTAGATTATCTTATATAGGGTTGCGTTAGAAAATGCGACGACGAGGAGGGAACGAAAATCCGGCTACATGAACAACAGTAAGTCGGAGGTCCGTTGAGCCGGCTGAGAGCTCTCGGAAGTGGATAGCAGACGGATTAGTTCCTCCTCTTGATCGGACACGAACCATTCCGATTCCGAGCCGCCGATGTCGCTCAGATGGACGAACTGCTGCTGCAGCTGCCGTTCTAAGACCTATCCCGCACCGGGCCAGACCAAAATCGTCAATGAGACTAGCACACATTAAAGTCCACCATTCGCATCGTCGAAACATTCAAGATATACAAGACAAATTTGCACTACTGCTGCTGCTATTATCGCGGGACTCGATATCGCATCGAGGAAGGTGAGAGAGGAAGCGTTGTACAACAGGCGGAGAGTATCGTTAAACAAACAACATAATTTTCTACTGAATGCCGTCCGCCAGATGTAAAAACAACACCCGTTCGCTCAGGTATGTCACACATATGGTAGATAAATACGAAGCTAAACGCGTGGGGATTCAAGGTGGACTTTAATAGCGCCGGTCGTGCTTTGGTCTGGGTATCGTCGCCCTGTGTCCAACGACCTTGCACAATTCGAGAGCGACGACGATGAATTACGCTATCAATTCTGCATGGACGCTACGCGAGATTTTAGTAGTGCGAGAACGAAATCAGTTAGAAGCAAATACGAGGACGTTTCATCAGAATTAAAAGTCAATTAAAGTCCACCCCAAAAAATGTCTCTAAGGATAAACATTCTCCATGGTTACGTTTTGAAACAGCGTTATTAAAACTCGGCGGATTAATAGATTAGGCCAACATCACTGAGAGAGATCTCGTAGGGGTTTTGTAACTTCACCTTACGTAAATCTCTCCGTGAAAGATATTCAAGTTACATTGTAGGTTCTATTTATGTTCGAAACGGTATTATTAGAATTTGGCAAATTAATTATGGAAATTCTCTAGAGTTAGAATTTCATTAGAATATTTATCGTACGTTTTTAGTCTGCGAAGGAGACGTTTCGTTGCCAAATTAGTATATTATTAATCGTTTAGATCGGGTTACTCCGTATTTGCGGAGATCAATCATTTACCTCCTCATCATTTCGTTATAAACAACAGGCTTCTTTCCAAATAAGCGTATTCAATCAGATGATAGGCAACAACATAAGCGCGTGATAAGTTTCCAGTTCCATTGTCGTTGTTAGAACGTCACAGGTAGATGCCCACAGAAAGGAAAGCGAAAAGGACTTCAGACAGGTGAATTACCTTGGCGGAATCTTTTAGATGCGCCATGCTGGGATCATTGATGGGCTTGCCACTGGCGGCCTTGGTGGCGTGTATGAGATCGCCAAGTGCGGATGCGACGTCCTTCACGGCATTGATCAGCATCACTTGGGCCTCCGGATTCTGACTGCCCAGACTGGCCGCGCCGTACTTGACGACCTCGGCGAGCTGAACGATCGTCGACACCGCGTTCTGCGCCGCGACAGCCAGTTGTTCCTGCGAGGACGCCGCTCCAGCTACCAATGTCTTCGTGTCCTCCACCAGGGCCTTCGCGGTCTGAAGTATATTTTCGCGATGATCGGCGAACGTGTCACCCTCGTTCTCGGCGTGCAGCGTACCGGCGGTGGCGAACATGATGGTGGTGTCGAGGTCGCCGATAATTCCAGAAACCGTGCTAGCGGCATTGATGCACGCCTGAGTGCCGCGCGAGCCCGCCTGCAATGCAGCCAATACCTGTGACACCTTCTCGGTCACGATCTTGCTGTACTCCGCGACCTCTCGCTGGGCGTACGCGTCGCCGGGTGCCATTTGGCATGTGCCGGCGGCGCGCACGATATCCGCGCAAGCCCGGCCGAGTTCCTGGACCCCGGTGCGAAGTCTGGCGGACACGTCGGCGTTGGAGGCAGCCGCGGACGCTCCGGAGGTATCGCGAGCTAGTTGAGTGTACTTGTGCGATATGTCGACCGCTAGGGGTCCCAATCTGGCTACGTCGGTGCTCGACTTGGTCGACTGAAATAAATAAGAAAGAGATAATTTACTGATTATTAATTTTTTATGATTAGTAATTTTTATATGATTAAATTGATTCTTCAGATTGATTAGATATTATATAGGGTGTAATATCAGAGGCTATTCACCATCTCTTGTGCCAACCGAGCGATCTCTTTGGCAGCTTCGACCATCCTCGTCTGATAATCCACGTAAGAATCCACGGTGTCGATAGTGGACATACGATGATCCTCCAATCTCACCATCGCGCGAGAAATCGTGTCGATCAGACCGGTGACGATACCCGCAGATGTCGATATAGTTTCCAAAGTGTTCTGCAGCTCCTGAAGCGCGTCTTTGGTGGACTCGACGGTTTCGTCCACCTCGGTGTGCAACGCGACAGCCTTCGGGTTGCCGCCGGACTCTTTCGTCACGTAGATCAGCTGCAGCGCGGACTCGGCTACGGTCTTCGTTTGATCCAACAGTATCATTTGCTGCTTCGAATGAACCATATTGGACGCGGCGCCAATCGCGCCCGAGACGAGCGGTTCCGAGTAAAGGGCGATCTGATTGACGGCGTGGCCGACGTTCTCCGCCTCGTACTTGGCAGCGGTACGCAACGGTTCCAGTTTCTCGCGCAGCTCGCTCGCGCTGCTCTCCATCTGATCCGTGAATCCCTGCACGGTGTTCTCGCGGCGCGGCATCAGCGCCTGCGAGACCGCGCTCAGCGAAGCGGCGTCGAGCTCGCGTATTCGCGCCGACAGTTTCTCGATCGCGGCGTCGCACTCCTTCTGACCGGGCGCCTTGTCGCGGATCGACGCCACCAGCGATTTGATCGAGTCGCTGACGCTCTTGCTGTGATTGGCCAGTAACTGCCAGGTCGGCGGGTCCTTCGGGCTGACCGCGAGACTCTTAGCCGCCAGCACCATAGCGCACGAGCCGTCGATAATGGATTTACCGGCGCTTGTGATCGGTTCCTGGGCGGCTCTAGCCGCGATGGATATCTTGGCCGGCTGGCTCGCGAATTCGGGAGAACTCGCGAACGTGCAGAGATTATCGACCGCCTCGAGTAGCGGTTTCGTGGCTTCCGCGCATTTTTCGCGGTTGGCATCGGAATAATTCTGATCGAGCGCCTTGATCTCCTTAACGAGACACGCCGTCGAATTGGCGACGTCCTTGGCGGACTGAACGAAGTGTCGCTTAGCCACCGGGTTGCTGGTCTTGCTGGACGCAAGTCTACAGGCGTTGCAAAGCGCGCTGGTGTGCTTGGCGATCATGGTAGCGGCTGAGAGCACTTGCGGTTGCGTGCTGGTCGGATTGCCGAGGCTCTGGCAACCGCTGTGAATGGCCTGCGCTGCTCGCAGGAATTGTGCCTGATCCACCAGACCCGGTTTACCCGCTACGGACGTAGGATCGCTCACGCCCGCTAGATAGGCCGCTTGAGCGGCTGCTTCGATCAAGCCGCAAATCGAGGAGGAGACTCCACGGACCGCGACGGAAAACTGCTCGTGTTCCGACTTCTTCGCGTGATTCGCGATACCGGTCATACCGTCACCGAGACTCTTACTCTTCTCCATGACGGTCTCCAAGCATTCGAAGTACGAGGCGTCGGAAATGGGCTCGCTCGGATTGTCCAACAGAGATCGCATGGACTGGATGTTTCTGATAGCATTGTCGCACTCGTTCTGCCCGGGCGCCGCCGAAGTGCACACGTCCACCAGGTAGTTTATGGAGTCGGTAACCGCGCGAGCCGCCGCCGAGAGTTGATTCTTCGCGTTCGGCGCAGTGGGATCGGCCGCGATTGATTTAGCGGTCATGAGAAGCTTGCTGGACGTCATGCTGACGTTCTTCAACGACACCACCACCTGAGTACGGGTTTCAACTGTCGTCTGACTTGCCATTTCCATCCCCACGCTCAGCAGATCTCCGAAAGCATTGGTAAATTGTTTCGACGAATTTGCGAGCTGCACGGGTGAACGCACGGATGATACCACGTTCGACGACGCATCGTTCAAATTGGCGGCAGCGTTATTGAGATCGCTCTGCAATTGCCTACGACATAAAAATGCGAAGCGTACATAATTAGTTATAATATTATGTATCTGTTATTCCATAGAGTAGAGATAAGAGATAATTTTAAAAATTAGTTCAAGTCAAACGCGAAAAAAATACACGACTGTATTTTAAAAACCAGTTCAGAGTAAACGTGAAAAAAAATACACGACTATGTAAAACTACTTACCCATAATTCTTGCTAGTTTGTGGGAACTCATTCATGTTGAGCACTTGAGTCATGTCGTCGATATTGCGTATCGCTTCGTCGACGTCTCTCTGTCCGGGCAGGCAGGACACGCACTTGTTCAACGAATAGGAGACGTCCTTGGCGACCACGGCTAGATTGGCCTCGTTGTCAGGATCGTCAGGATTTTTCAGTACACGTCGCGCTTCCTTGACTAGACGTAGCGATCGCAGGATCACGTCATCTGCCGTCATTAGCACCTTCTTCTGCGTCTCCGGCTGATTGGACGTAGCGGCTACGCCGCGCACGGCATAGGTAAGATCCTTTAAGGCCGATGCGGTTTCTCTAGCGGCACTTCCGGTATAATTCTCGTTGCCTTGCTTGGCGGCGGATAACAGTTGCGCCATAGCAAATCCAACGTTCTTCGACGTGGCGCCGAGTCGCAGCGCAGTAGATTCCGTCGTCTCTTCTGGTAGCGGTCTCAACGAAGCGGCCTCGACAGCGCGATAAAACTCTCCTAGCTCGTCCTTCAGGCTGTTTATCAGCTCCTCCGCGGCGTCGAGCTCCAGTCCGCCGCAGGCTTCCCTGGCACGCGTTACCGCTGATCGAAGGTCCGCCAACGACGATCCTAACTGCTGCGAGGTGTTATTCAGCTGCATAGCGGACGCCTGATCGGTGACCGTCGGTAGAACGGCTCTGGTCGCCTTCACCACAGCGGTGCCCGGTTGCAGAAACTGCTCGGAAGCGTTTATCAGATTCAACTGTGCGGTAGGATTATCCGGTTGTGCCTGCGTGCCCTTCACTCCCGATACGAGATATGGAATCTGCTGCGCCATCATGCGACACTCCATGTTGAGCTCCTCCTGGCTGGCAGGATTAGTATTGTGGTGTCCGGCACCAGAAGACGCCGCGATACACTGCGTGGCCGTGGACGCGGCCTGTTTAGCGCACGCCTCTAGACGCGTAATTAGTTTTCTACGTAACGCCGGAGTTGCCGCCGCTGTAGTCGCAGCTCGTAACTCTTCCGCTGCCTGGCGTAGTTGATCCTGCATCCTGGCGTCGTGCGGGCTGCTAGCGCACTGCCGCGCCGCCTCCACCATCTTAGCAGTGGCATCGGCGAGTAGCTTCGCCGCTGCCAGCAGACGCTGTTGCTGCTCCGAGTCTGTCTGCCTCTCCGCCTCGCCTTTGATGCTCTGAATCAGCTGAGCGGTAGCTTGACCGACCACTCTTGCCTGTCGTACCATCTCGCCGGCGTCACCGGTGCTGGCGAACAGTCTGTCTGTCGCAACGAAGATGGTTTCCACCGCGCCTTCCTGGATGGATTCCTTGGCGCGCTCTCCTCTAGTGGCGGTCTTGATGTGATTGAGAAGGTCGTTCAAGGTGCGACTGACCTCGGCGGCGGCAATACTCAGCTCCTTCAGCAAGTTATCATCGCTGCACGTCTCGTTGCAGACTTGAACCAGGCGCTCCACAGCCTTGGTCACCTCCCGAACGGCGTTCATCAGCTGCGTTTGGCAGGCAGGTGAATGTAAGGTCGGCGCTACGACCTTGGCGCAAGCCACGAGCTGAGATGTAGCCAGTGCGCACTGCGTCGCGGCCGATATCACCCTATTCTGTGTGGCAGAGTCCTCGCACGTGGCTGCTATATTCTTCGCTTTCAATACCAGAGCAGCGGTGGTGTTGGCCACGGCCTTAGCGAGCGCGAGTAACATGTCCTGCAACTCGCGATTCGAGTCGTCCTCCTCGCCAATAGTTGTCAATACTTGATGCGACGCCTCACCCACTCTCGACGCCGCATTCAATAGATTTTGTCGCGGCTAAAATGTAAGCAAAAAATATAATTTATATAATGTCCAAAAAACCAGATCAAAAATAGAAAAGAAAGAATAGAAAAAGAAGTTTAAAATAGTAATTCGTGTCTAACGAGCCTTTCAAGTGTTTTTAAAGAAATTACATGTGCATCTTTTAACTCGTCTATGTCACACATAATCGTAGGAAATATAGATTGATCTTACCATTTAATTAAATATATTTAAAAATCTTTATTAACGAAATTTGCACTTCAAGGATATAGACGGGTTAAAGTCGAGTGCTCGGAAAAAGTCTAATGCATCTGTAAAAGCAAGTCTAATATTAGTGCGCTACGAATGTTAGTGCTTACATATTGTCCGTAGAGCGTAGATGTTATGTAGAAAGGCTGTGGGGAAAGAGGAAAGTTGAAATAGCATTCAACTTCACGGACAGATCACGTATTAGTTCTATTATATTTTTTTTTATGCAGCTCTCTCCGCTACGACGAACTCACCTCCTTGGTCTCAGGTTCCGTGGCCTTCAATAAGTCTGAGAACGCAGAACAGAGTTTCCTGGCAGCGTCTAACAGCCGCTCGCCGGACGACTCATCGTCCATAAGAGCAGCTATCATCCGCACGCCCTTCGTCATCTCTGGTAGATTCGTGGCGATCGTGGTAATCGCTGCTCCCACTGCGGTGTGATCGACATCGTCCGCTGGCCCGGAAGTCAACGTGACCACCTGGGCGGTCGCGGCGTTCATCGCCGCGATCTGCGAGCCCACGTTCTGCTTGTGGGTGTCGATCGTCTGTTCGATCCATCTCAGAGATGCTGGATCCGTGCCGAGCTCGGGTAACTGAGCCTTCGTGGTGAGCTCCGTCTCGGCGATGTGGATCACCTCGTGACCAGCGGTGATGGTCGATAATAAGGCACGTTGCGGTTCAGATAGGACGGATGTCACCTTAGTTTGTTGGACCTAGTTTCAAACGTTCATACATTGTAAATTTACGTATGGCCGTTGTAAACCTGATTGATTGGCAGTATCATAAAAAAGATATTTTTCGCGTAAACAAATGCAAGTAGGAATAAAATAATTTCGCTTATAACGGTCAATCAACGAACGAAATGCACGTACATAACGAAGCGATAAACTGCAACAAATAGTTGCGGCGATACAGAGTTTACTGATATTGATTGATTACGAGCAAGTATTCTGTCGAGAAAGCATGAATCGCAAGTTACAGAGATTTTATCTATCCAGTAAGCGCTGTACCGAGAGAGAGAGAAAAAGATAGTCGATCGACGAACATGAAATGCAAACGAATCAAACCGGAGAAGTAAAATGAACGGTCTATAAACAAAGAATAAGAGATAACTGAAAATGTATCGTGGTGTACCTACTCTGTGTCCGCAATAGAAGGCGCCTAGCATGAAAATAAATTTAACCGTCTATTAGTCCCTTAAAATTTCGCTTTCTAACGTGCAGTATAATGATCGGTGCGACTTTAGACATTCACAAGAAATATAATACCGTCCTAAATACATATATATTCCCATAATCAATTAATAATTACACATTAGAGAGACGCACGATTTGCTAGTCGAAAGTTCCCGAAGGATCTCCAATTTTTACACTTCAAGACGCATATATATTTATAACAAGCAACTAAAAGACACCGACATGAGCTTGAGAGCAGCTTGGGCGCTTTTTAACTGTGCTTACCATAGGCGGAGCATGGGCGATGTTCACCTGTCCACTGACGGTTGTGTACTGGGCACCACCTATGTGACCGGTTCCATATGGTCGAGCCCCTATAAATCACACCATGCACTCTAACTCTATGGCTATATTTACAATTATTGACAATCCCGATCGAGTCCTCGATACTGTAAATCTATTCGTTTAGACAATAATTTTCTGTTGAAAGCTAAAAGCAAGTTTAATATATATGCTTAATTATTTGATCTTATAAGCAACACTTTCACGAACGCCTGAAGCTAGTTAAACGTGTATTTACAAAATGAAAGGTGTATGTATGTACAAAAACACATATGAACAGCTAAGATCCGAGGATTCAATCGTGCAAAAATTTGCTAATTAGTTTCTCTTTTTACATTGGGTAAAAGAGCGGTGTATCAGGACTTAAAAATTTAAAGCAGACATAATTTTTAATTTATGAAAATATTATATTCTCATAAGCTACCATATACACCCAAATAAAAATCTGATAATTATGTATTATATAATCGCTGTTGATATAACAAAAAAATATCTTTAGAAACAGTCCTAATCAAATTATCTAGAAAATAAAACTTGAACTAATAAATTATAATTTCGCTTACCATCTCCTCCCGCTCTCATAACAGCTGGTATCGCGACTGAGACGGCTTCTACATTCCCTTTACCAACATTGCTGGTCTCATGTTGCATGATGGTGGCTCTGTCGAATGAAAATGCACGTGTAAAATCTCGAAGTCAAGTATCACTCTTATTTAACGCAAATTATACCCATTAGAATCGAAAACAGCTCTAACACATTTGTTTGCGTAGCGTCTTAGAAACTCTTCCATGATCACATCAGATTAACGCGAAATATTGTCGCGAAATCTTGTTAGGACGTGACGCGTGATTGAACGTAAGTCGGTCGCTTTAAGACGAGTCCGACTCTCGTCGAGAACTGATAATTGCTCTAACAGTATCTTAATGGCTATTATTACTTCGATCCACACGTGGCTCGGAGAAGCTAACATGTATTGAGAGCATGAGAGATACTCACTTTAACGGCGACACGCTATCCTCCACCATGGTGGATCCCTCGTCTCCCTCGATACCGAAGTGATCCTTCGCTTTCTGCTTCTTCAGGATAATGTCGATATAACCGGCGATCAGTTGGAGTATCTGCTCTGCTTCGGTAGTCTGTACACTGTAATATTGGTCAGAATAGTCGCCGAAGTCGAGGGTAAAGGTATTCGGCGAGGCGCCCCAACGCCGCACGGTCGTCAACGGCCACGTCTTCAGAATCTCCTTCGTCTTCTCGTCGAGTCGCAGGACCGAATCCTTCGTCACGCCGAGCAGACGCGGCACCAGCTTGTTCTTGCCCTTCATCTTTTCTTTCACCAAGAAGAACGTGACCCCGTACGTATTCAACGACCTGGCGGTTTTCGTGTACAGAACCTTGGCGTCCAGCTCTGAGAGTCCAATGTGTTTTTTGTGCTCCGCAAAGACCTTCTTTTCAATTCCTTTCACCTTCACATACGATTGCGGCAGAAATTCTTTAAGACTGAAAAAGAACGCGACATAAGTGAAACATTAATCGATATAGAATTGAGAAACATTGATCGATCGATCACACTGAATGCAACTTACTCCAGGAAACCAGGTTTGTGTTTCTCCTCCTTATAATCGCCAAACTGAATTTGACACTGGATCCCGGCGAACACGCAAGCCTTTTCCTGCGTAATCGGATGCGTGCCATCCAGAATTGCATCTCGCGCTTGCACGTATAACAGCGACAATTGTACAGGATCGCGACTGTCAATGTTTTGATCCGAGAAGAAGAATTTCCTCCTCAGCAGAACGGTTTCGGATTCGTCTATACCTTGTTCGCGCAAGGTCTTGCTTGGATCTATCCAATTCACTGTGAACCAAAACAATACGAAAGTCAGAAATGTATTTTGCAAACTTTTGCCTCAATATGTGTGCATGCTGATAGAATTTCAAATTAAATATCTACCAACAAGAGGTGGAAAAGTTATTTTACCTTCGTCGTCGGTTTTCAACTTCTTCCTCAATTGTTCCATCTTCGCATCCCTCTCGCCCTTCTCTTCTTTCTTTCTCTTCAATGTGAGAGTGCCAAAATTTCCAGGTTTCTGATTCTCGTTCTCGTCCTCCACTAGCTCGCGCACCAAGGAATACTCGTCGTGATTCGTGATACCTATCTTCGTACATATCACCACCATGAGATTGGCCACGGGCTGGCTGTCATCCACCAACATGGTCTTCAGCGTTCCGTCCAGCATGCGGACTCGCAGCGTACGGAGCTTACGGCGATACTCGAGCAGATCTCCATTTCTCAGGATGTAGTAGTCGAGATTTCGTCCGGGCTCGAGCCAAACTCCCTTCTTCACGTCCTCGTCAGCGAGAAATAGGCCATAATCTTTCGCTACGCAAAGAACAATGAATTTAATCTTTATTTTTGTATTAATTATTGTTTCTTTATATTATGAGAAATAAGAATTACAGAAATTATATCTTTTATGATTCACAGAGAATAGGATTTGGGCTTCGAATTTGTGGAGCATAAAAAGCCTTTATTTTTTTATGCTGCTTATCTCAACGTCTAGAGGCTGAAACAATCCCTCGAAAACAACGGACTTTTTATTTTTAGCGAATATCGAAAAATATATGAATACACTATTGTAAAGAGTATTTAAAATAAAAACTTTTGTGTAACATTTTTTCATATACCTTATATTTTCGAATATCTTGTCTTATACCTATATTCGCAAAAAATGAAAAATTGTTATTTTCGAGAGGTTGTTTCAACCTCTAAGTATTGAGATAAGCAGCTAAAAAAATGTTGATCTAATATTCTTTATGTTCCATAATAGTTCAAAGCCCGTCCCCTTATTAATGCAATATATAATATTATATATTTATAATATTCCCAGTCTATTTAGAAATGATTAAAAACGCGCACGTTTTAGGAATGAGCTGAATATCCATTGCTTTCATCATCGGAATAAATTAAATATCAACGTACAATTCTTTAGATATCCTTTTATCGAGTTGGCAAATAAAATACGCTGATATTTCCGGGATATTCATATCTGTATTACCCCGTTAATTTGCATTACGTTACATTATTAAATTACATTACCAGTAATTTAAGAAAAACTTGAAAAAAAAAATTTGATGCGTCTATCTACGCGAGAGATATCGCGACATCTATTTTTGGGACATTTCACGTGGCGTTGACGAAATATCTCGATAATACAATTAAGGTCCCCGCCGAGTAAAATATCGAGCGCTTACGTTGACCCATGTTGCTGGCCTCGGCGAGTTTCTCCCTGATGATACGACAGGCATCGTACACCGACGTGCTGGGATCGAACTGCATCATCTTGGTGGCGTTCTTCTCCGGTATGGAGATGCGTAAAGATAGGGTTGCCATCGCGATTGCCTGGGGTGACCTTCTGCGTGCGCGAAAACCTCCAGAGTCACTCGACTGAAAGAGTGGCGAGCCGCCATAAAACAAGATTATGAGCGTTAATCAAGACTGAGCGACGCGATTCGTTCGCTAATATTAATTAACGTTTCGTAACGCTTTCGTCGACGATCGGCGAGTATTCTTTTTTTTTTCTCAAGACGACGAATCTTACGCGTGTAATCGTCCTGGTCGCGGGGTCTCGCCGATCGCACGCAGCGTTGAAATTATATCTCGCGAAATTATCAAATAATCCCGGTATTACGTGGACGGCAATTTAAAGGATTATGCAGGAGCACGCAGTTTCCGCTTTACGGCGAAATTGCACGCAACAAGTTGCAAGGGCCGACTATTGTGTCCCCTACCGCGTTATACGAATGTCTAATGACAGAAACTCGTTAATGTAATCGTGTAACGTTGTTAAAATTTCGTTATGTTATTTGTATTCGTTAAATCCGGAGAATTGTAATTATTTGCGCTAACGACATTGAGAAAAATAATCGCGCCGCCGCGCCGCGCCGCGCTCGAAGGCGAGCTTTCCGCTTTGTGCCGAGATCCAGTTAAGTTATTTCACGATACTTTCTGTTGCGATTTATCTGGAAAAAGCGCCGAGAAGAAGGGAATACGTCTCGCACAGGTTTGCGGGGACGAGAAGGGTGAAGGGACCACGGCAATGGATTAAAAATGATCCGTGCGAGACCAAAGGAGAGGCAGCCACTGTAAGATTCCTGTCTATATGTACATCGATCTTCCATATAGTAACATGTATTATATTTTTGCCACGCAAAATTTACCAGGGGGTAGCAACGTGTCTTTCACGAGCGTAGAAACGCACAAAATGTATACATTTGACATTTTTTAGATTTTTTCCACACATGTTTTTCCCACAACTTATTACGTTTCATAGAACAGGATATGATAATGCAAGATAAAAGTAAAAAGTATCGGAGATGTGCAAATAAGTTTTCTAACTTACATAATGGATGAAGTAATAGCTAAATTAAGACAGAAACTACATAAATATTGCGATAACTCTGTTATATTTATAAGGAATAATAAATTACTCCGTTAAAAAAAAGCGTGGACAGAGTAGGTAAATAAAAATACGCCCTTTCACTCTCGAGCTCGAGATAATTAAATCGGATCCGATAGCTAAAAATAAAAGGAAACGTATACTCAACGAACGAAGTAATTAAATTCTCACGTGATACGCAGCTTCGGTGATTTATAAACATGTAAAACACTCCGAGACGATGTCAAGATATAAATTAAACGAGCGGCTCCTCAAGGGGGGGAAGAACGAATGGAGAGCGTGCCGTTTATATACGTTTGATCGCCTTAATAAAGATTACCCCGGGGAAGATATCTCGCCGGGAGTAATTGCGAGAGAAGAGCAAGGGGCAAACGCTCACATTCTGAGATATGAATAGATTAAATCATGACATTGAATTCAAACTGAGTGTCATTACCCCCCGCTCCGGGGAGGGGGGGGGTACAAAACGCGCCGACGGGGGCGGAGCGGAGCTCGCAAGTGCAACTTCGGGGCTCCGGTCCTTTTATATAGAAGGAAGATTGCTATCTTCTCGCTAATTTGCGGTGCGCGAAACGCAAGCATTCTTCCGCGACAATAAGCGCGTCGTTAGACGTCGCGGGGATAAACATCCAATTTCGTTGTATTCATCCCGAGTCGGGATCACAGTCAACGGGTTCATTCACGCGTTTTTCCACGCGTGCCCTTTGCAGGGGGGCCGAGGGGAGGAAGGGGCAAGGGAGAGAGGCAGACAGGACCCAGGAGGAATAGGCGATCCCGCGTAAATTCGTCGCAGGTATACACCCTACGCCAATGTGGATTTCCACCCTTAAAGGTTGCCAGGCAACGCCGGTCTCTGACTGTGTCAAACTCCAAGCGTGACCCCCTGCCATACCCCTGGCTATCCTTTCTTACGAACTCTCTCTCTCTCTTCTCTTTCTCGCGCGTTCTCTCCCATCTCGTCCCCGTTTCACCCATCTTCCCCTTTCACTCCCTCGCCCGTTTCTCTCGCCAACAATTTTCACCCAATTAACGTATGGTTTTGATTTCATCGCGCGTATCGAATTTCTGACCTGGATGGGGCATGGATTGGATGATTACCGAACGCGAACGTGTCGATCACAATGGAGCTTGTCAGAGTTGCGAAAAATGTACGCCCCGGGTCTCCGGTCATCGAGTATTTTGCCGTGAAATTGTCGAGGGGAAAATTGTCAAAGTCGGTAAGATATTTCGTCGCGGGTAAATCGTCGTAATTATAGAAAAGGCATTAAAGATCGGCTGTATAAATTTAGATGCGCTATAATATATAATCATAACAAATCAATAATTTCCTCTCGCCGACGATTAAAAAGTGGTTTGTACAATAAATTCGTTTATTCGGGAAAATTTACTTTAACAATGTGAAATTTAAAACTATATTGATACGAGGTCATTGCATGTCTGATTTTAGGTATGTATTTTGTTCACCCCCAAAGATACGAGCCAATACCTTTCCCTCTGAGCGATATCGCTGGAGTTTTTCTCTTTCCAAAAAAAGAGGGGGGTCACAAAGTGAACGTCCCTAATGGCAAAATGTAAAGAGAGGGGGGAAAAAAAATCGCGCAACAGGCAATCGCTCGCAGAGCCGATGGCGTTTTACTGCGAAATTGAAACCGCACCGTCGGCTACGAAGTTACTTTCGTTCAATTCGCAATACGTCACCTTCCTACCCGCACGAACTCGATTCAGAGGGAACGACCTCATTACATACAACTGGATCATCAACTCCATACATACTGCCAGTGGGACGGAGCCACTTCACGACAATGCTGGCATTGATATTGCTGGAAATTGAATATTCTTACGAGAGGGACACACACGTTGCGCAACACATTCATCGTTGAAAGGCCGGCGATAAAGTGGCGAGGACTCTTTTGTTTCGTCGGCTCATGTTAAATTCAATTCTTTATTTACAAGTTCGATTAAACGAACAGTATAAGGACGCGAAAGTAAAGGGTAGTTAAAAGTTTTTTTTTGCGACAGCAAAGGTGGAACGTCACGCGACGCAATTGCAGCCCCAATTAAAAGTGAAATAATGGTCGATAAATTTTTCATGAAGTCTCCTTAACGTCGCTACGGAAAATGGGAGACATTATTTTTACAATGACCTCGGGGAAAAAGGAGCGCGCGATAGGAAAGGAAGGCGGAAAGAGCACGCTATTAGGAGCGGAAAGGAAAATTTGTTTACGTAACGTGATAAAACCGCTTCTTTATCCGGCGATCTTGCTCCCGGTGCAGCGCGCCGTTGTTCTTTCCAAAGTAGGTACCTACTGAAACATAAATAGGGCTTTCATCTCGATCGAGCTCTCCAATACCTCCCTTTGAGGTATCCCAAAACAAATTCCCGGCCATTTTATTCTCCCCTACTCATACCGTCTAAATTCTCCACGGATCTTCCATTTCGATAACGGCTGATCGCCCGAATACGAAGCGCGCTGTTATCAAACGCGACGAGCGCGATAGAAAAGAGAGAAAAGAGGCGGACTGAGTGGAAGAAGAGGAAAAAAAGAGAGGAAGAGGCGATGTGGAGTGTGGAGAGTGCCAGTTGCGCGATTCGCGTTAATCGAGAGCGTTTCTAAAATTAGACGTCGCGTATATAGTATCCGCGCCGCGATGACACTTGACGCGACCGAGTGGAGGGCGGCGGTGCGGGGCGGGGGGGGGGGGGCCGGGGGGGGGGGGGGGGGGGAAGGGGGGAGGGGGGGGGGGGGTAACGAAGACGCGATTATGCGGCCGCGCTCCGCAAAATCGGCTAATCCCGCCGGCCTCGTATTCCTCATCCCTAATGGATCGTGCCGCGCATACGTGCCAATCAGCCGGGCGGGCCTCCGTCGATTATCGCGGAAACGGCGAATCTATAGTGGAAACGTGTTAATCTGTCGCCGTCCCGGGCTCTCTCTCTCTCGTCATTTATCATCGCGGCGCAGCGCGCGCGATTGAATAGCTTCGGACCGTTATTTGCCGCTCGCTAAAATCTCGCGATAATTCGCGGAAAAATTCCATGTCCCTCGCCGGCGCATCCCCGGGAATTAGATAGCGATTCCCATTAGCGGGCCACGCGGATATACCCGATAAAGCGCGTTGCCATTATCGATATAATAATTTGGACACCCTCGAATTAATCTTTATGCAAATCCTCGCGCGGCTCCCCCCAGGCTCGTACACGAGCATCGCATCGGTTCGAATTAACTTGTGTCTTAACTGATTCTCCGATCTCCGGCTATTTTTCCAGGTACAGAACTGTGCAGAAAGAGAGCTTTCATTTAAACTTCAGTCAAGTTCGGGCCGCGTTTACGAATGCAACTCACCGGCGTTTTACAACTCGGACGTGATGTCACCGATGTTTTTGCCCCGGTTTTGTTTGGAGGATGATAGCAATGCGAGTGCTAACAAGGCCACACGCGCCACACAAGCCTTATGCATATATTCCGCGCAAATTACATTTCCTATGCATTAGAATATACCTCGCACCACCACTTCGCAAGATTAATGCTGATAACATAATTTCCCGCGGTCTTATCTGGTACATACATTAATGTCGTATTTCGATTTTCGCGATTCTTCCATTGAAGTCCACAACTTCCCAAAGTTGGTTTAGATACCCGCTAACTGATGAATTATGCAAAAGTTAGGCAAAATCGAAAATTAATAATTACCGACCGGTTCAATCATTATACTATCGATATAATCGCTGACTAAATTACTAATTATGACTGCAGTGTAATCATCAAGTAATCATGTTCCAATGATCCATTAATTATAAAGTAATTATGCCTTTATAATTAATTTCACAATTTAACATATCACTATACGTACAATGAAAACGAAATATAATATTTCATCTGATAATTATCAATTAATTGCAGATTGGCAAATGTAATTTTTGATTAATAATTTATCTCAGTGACAATTGTTCTAATCGCGAATGATTTATTAATTCTATATAAATCTATATAAATTCTATACAAATGTTGGAAAATATTAAATCTTATTATTAAGATCATCAGACTCACTCAGATAAAAATAATGAATTGCCGCGAATAATCGTGACTGAGACACCGTAAAAAATGCGTACAATCTACTAAATGAAATTTGCTCGAGTAGAAGCTATATATCGGCGTGTAGATACGAAACACTTACTGCCATTTACTTTGGGCTACAGTATGCAGTTACCATGCTCCATTCTCGGAGCAAGTTATAACGCCGTCGTCAGCTTTTTTAACTTCATCGCCGCCTCGAGAGAAGGGTAGCAGTCGGTCGGTTCTCACACCCTCTATCCCACGAACGCTTTGTCCCCCCCTCTCTCTCTCTCTCTTTTTCAGTGTCGTTGCCACCCTTTGCGGATGTCATCACATTTTTCCGCACGTCACTACCCCAACATATAAAACGCGCGCGTAACTCCTTACGGGTTATCCGAATAATTTATTGACCCATACGATTATCCGACAACTTACGAGAATATTGATATTCTCGCTGCTATTAATTTTTCGCGAGGAAAACTCATTCTTCAGCCTTATTCCTCAGCCTTGCGAGAATAAAAGTACTTTACGCTACGTCGTCCGCGCGATCGCGGGGAACTTGATCCTTTATCGCGTCTATATCTACATCCCAGAATCGATTAAGTGCACAGGTAGATATACTTAAATGAAAATTTCAGCTTCCTTACACCGGCGTACATTACGCGAATTTACTTTTACAATGTTAATTTCGTATATATTGTGAGACGCTGTTACAATTACTCCGTCAAAGTTTCTCTCCGCCTTTAAAGGCGGATGAGAAAAGGATCCTTTTTATTCTTGTGACGCTTTACTTTATTATACCTTATACGTTACGCTGCGTGAAATATATGCATTCGGGACACACTCGGTGTGGTACAAAGCTACATGTAGACGCAAATATAACACACTGCATTTGCGGACGTTAAACAAAGCACAAATGCAACTTATCGACGTTCACCCGACACATATGCGGATCGATTGAATAAACGTTTGTAAATAAACTCCCAACGGCGCAACAAAAGTTTTGATAAATTCACTTGTAAGAGTATGAAATAGTATATGCTGTTAGCCATCTAAATTAAATGAATATTTCATCGAACTGAACAAATAAAGCCGTACAGCTCCTCGCGAGTGACGTCCACGTATCGAACAACTTTATAGGACGAAAGTTTTTTAATACGCCAAGAGCTGTGCTAAATCTAAATCTAACACTTCATCTAAACACTTCGTCTATGAAACATCATCAGAACAAACATTTAGAGACGAGAGACGATCGGAGCCTCATTTTATTTATGAACTGCATATTATAATTAGGAAATACATATCAGTGAATGTTAAATTTCTGTTTCAAATCGGAGATTTTATAATTATAAAACAAAATGTGTTCTCCGTTCGTTAAATTGGCACAAAGCGTCGATTTATGCTTTGGCCATTATCGCGAGAAATCGCGTGTGTAAACAGTCTTACGAAACGAGGCACGACGTTTCTCGCTGAAGGCAGGCAAATACCACGTGGCTAGCTAACGAGCGATAACGGATGGACGATGCAACGCGCGATGATTGACTCACATAAGAAAAAAATAGTGGATGATATTTACCTCCGGCGACGCATTCGTATTGGCTTGCTTTAGCGGTGCCTAGCAGCAACTACATCTATATATCTAATTTTGGCTATTGGCGACTCCCTATAATACCCAGGATCGTGGAACGTTGGGCGCCGGCTGACGTCGTTTCCGATGCAAGCTTCTCGTGTAAAGATAATTTACTATCCCTACGAAGCTGCAGCACGGGTTCAGCTCCATTTCTTACTGTATTTTTATTCACGATCGCGACCGATTTACGACGACGACAGTGACAACGAGCTTCGGTAGCCTCGTAAATCCTGCCATTTATATCGATATTCCATTAAACGACCGATCGGCGATCCTCGATGAACGAGATTATTCGTAGAACGTCGACGTCGCTTGATTGAAGCATAGGATTAGTACTAGGAATATATTAATAACAATAATTTTTCACTGAAAAAAATTTTAATTGACTTTGGATCAAAGAAATAAATGCTAATTAATTACGTGCAATTTTTTAAAATTAATGTTAAAAGGGGAATTATAAGATACAAAGGTAAAATCCGAAAAGCAAAATTCGAGGAATCAGGATTCTTATATTTTCAAGAATAAATCGTCACGATACGCAAAATTCGTATGCTCAAAATCAAATCATGTATGTTAGGATTCTTAGGCCGCGTTATTTCTCGACACTTATCCCGATTGGTTTTATCGTACGACGAGCTCCACACAGGCGTCACTGAATCGCTTCGATTGCGAGGATCGATGGCTTCGAGCGAACGCCGCGAGTCTCGCGCGACATCCCCGACCGCGTGTGTGTGTAGTAGCGCGCCGCGATCCCGCAGGCGGCAACCCCCCCGTGAAACCGCGGACGCGCGACGTGGCCCGGACGACCGGATCCTCGCGCCGATCCTCCGGGGGCGACGGACGCGGATGGAATCCCGAGGGAAACTTGTGAGAGAGGTGTGCTGCGACGACGGGCACACGAACGGACGCGTCACTTCGATCGCCGGTCAGAAACTGAATGTGCCGCGGTTCGAGCTGTAAGGCTCGAGATGTGGAGACGAGAGGGTAGAGAATCGGGGAGCCACCCCCTTGCACTCGCTTGCTCGCTCGCTCGCTCGCACGCTCGCGCGTTCTCTTTCTCCCGAAAGGGATGCGGGACTCCGAGGCGGGGGATGGAACGACGCCGACGGGGCGGCGGACGGGGAACCGGAGGGGGGCATCGCTACGACGATTCTCTCTGGGATCTACATCGGGCATGTTCGGGGCTTCTGCGCACTAGTGCCCCAGTAACACACCCCCGTGCACCAAATCGGGAAAATCTCGAGCGTCACGAGAGCGCGAACAAATCGCGCACGTCCCCGCCGGTTGCCTCGGTTTTTCACGAGATTTTCTCCGAACGATTAAGCTTCTCTCTCGTTCTCATCGATCCGTTTGAGAACTAAAACTCCAACTATAATCGCTCTATTAAAAAAATAAAATAAAAGAATATTCTTACATTTAAACAAAACAATTCCCGTCGCCAGCGAATAATTCAAAATAAGTCGTTTTATTTCGACCTAACTGGCCAATTGATACAAGAATTGCACGACGTTTCGATCGAATTCCGGTCCTTATCAAGTGCTTTTATTCGCGTTACACCGATCCGCATAACGAAATTAATTGCATCGTTGACGGATCGGTGTAACTCGAATAAAAGCACTTGATAAGGACCGGAATTCGGTCGAAACGTCGTGCAATTCTTGTATCAATTGGCCAGTTAGGTCGCAATAAAACGACTTATTCTTACATTTATTTTATATCTTTTTATTATTCATTTTTTTATGGATATAGCGACATAGAGCATATCAACGTTTTATCTCACGGCGAAAATTATACATGTCTCTTGATCTTCTCCCGATTTTCACGATTATCTAATCTTACTTTTCCAACGCGTATTTTTTTTTTTTCAGTCACACTGAATTTATTTATCTCACGCTTTCGTTAAATCGCGAGATTTTTACTCGAATTTTTATTCGAATCGATTCAGAGCTGGTTCGAGGGATCGCGCGAGACTCGGAGCCAACGCTAACAGGGAACTAGCGTTATGTCGAGCCGCAAGGAATATAGTCTGCCGGGATTTCAAATAAACGTACGCCTGTGTGTCGGGTTGAGTCGTTTTAACGTCTGGACGCTCGTGACCGGGCGGTGACAGATGCGGAAATCATCGATTCTTCCTCAGCCGCGTCGGGTAAAGGATTAAAATAAAAGATACGCCGCCGCGCGCCTTTGTCGCGCCAGATGAGAAACAAAAGGAGATAAAGACCGTATAGTAATCCGTATCCGTAATTCCGGCCGGATTTAGAAACGACAGTTTGCCCCGCAACGTTGCGAAAAGAAGGCAGAACAATTACCTCTGAAATTTTTTTTTATTTACACTTCACGAAGAGTCAGTCTAAAATTAGGAATTGTTCAAGCAAATTTAATTGAAAAAACATTTTAAATATCTGCACCACGAGAGATACTTCAAATATCCTTAATTTTATTACAAATGTCAAGTGCTGCGAAGCGTGTCGCCACATAAAATCATATCTACTAGAGAGATTCGGTATACTTTTAACATACATGTCATCAATAAACCCGGACCGGTTACCGTGTCTCTATTGGAAATCCTCTATTGGAAAATGATTAATAATACTTGAATATGTAAACGAGAGATTGTACAGCTGAAAACTGTACTGTCAATAACGTAATTCTATCGGGAAAATGTCAAACTCAGAATCTATATCGTTCGCTCGTATCACATTATGAACCTTTTATTTTTGTTCAAATAATTATTTAGGGTACTCCCGGCCCCCCCTCATCCTATTCGCCGATTCTGTGTCGCGAAATTTTACAAATCGCTCTCTTTCGATTCTTCCAACATACATCAGTTTATGATCGTTTGACTTGTTTGCCCCAGTTTACGTACAATTCTATATAAACAATTTTATAAAGAATAGCAAATATACCGTAATAATGGAAACCCCTAGACCGTATCGATCCCTATCGAATGAAATTTAACATCGTCGTTTGTGGGTTCCGGAAGGCCGAATCTATCTCGTTTCGTTCATTTAAAACAATTTCACGGGACGGACGGTTTTAGAGGCAAAGAATCCAACGTGTGTGCGTGAATGCCTGATTGTTATTACCGTAGCTTGCCTCCCTCGATATCGGACAATTTCGGGACCCCGGAAAGTCGACCCTCGTATTATACTATCTGATTTCGAGATCGTAGGGGGTTGTTACCACGACTCGCTCTTAATAATTGAGTATGCTATCTCGATCGTTCTGTGGCAATCAATTGTATACCCCCTCGATCTTGTTAGCTCGTTTGTCTGTTCGATTTTTAAGTCCGGCAAACATCAGAGAACGTGTGATTTTTAATTTTGGTACAGGGTTCAATAGTGGTTAACAAAAAAAACCTCCTACCGATAAGTAAATTAATAAATATATTTTCACTTGTTTGTATACATTTATTCTTTTTGTTACGAAATAATAAATTTATTAACTGTACTATTATCAAATAATCATGCAGCAATATTCACGCACAATCTACTCACACAAATAAACATGGACGCAAAAGATAGAGCCGTAGATCTCGATCGACAAATTCTTTACACTGATTATTTGCTATCGAGTGCTTTTGGTCAGATTTCAAGTGATTAAAGCAGTTCAATTTATATTTTTTTGTCGTTTTTTTCTCGGAGCATGTCAGCAAAACTAAAAGTTACCAACAGTCATCCTGGCATCTTAATTTATTTAATTGGAGATTCGCGAAACTATGTCTACAGAGATTTACGTTTGGAGAAAACCTCGATTTCCTCCCTGAACTTCCAGTCGTTTTAGATCGACGTGATAGCGCGCGACACATCAAAAGCACACGCAGCGAGAGAACAGCGAGCGACGTTATTCTACTTCGCTAACAATCGCTAAAGCTACGGCTCGCAAGGGCAGCCGAAACTCTCTCTTGCATCACACAGCTGAATAGTTTCTTACTCACCGCGCCGGTGTCATCGTGGTGTCACTCGATCGCGCTCGGGGGAGGGAGATCTCTCTTCTCGGACGGATTCGTCGCGCCCGTGATCGATTCAGCGCGAGGTACAAGCGAGACGGCACAGAAGGAAAGCGAGACTTCTGTACGTCTACGAGGATACTCTCTACGTTAGGGGGATGATCCTCGTCGACTGCACGCTGCGGGATCCTCGTGTCTTCGGGATCACGATCGTTCGCCCCGGTCACAAAAGCGGGAGCGGGTAAATCGGGACTAGTGTACAAGGCACAGGGAAAAGGGACGGAGCTTGATTCTCGTTCAACCTCGATCGAGGGAAATAAAGATAGAGGAGGAGGAGGAGAACTTTCGGGAAGATCCGGACGGACTTGGATCTCGGTAAGGCAATCTCGTGGTTGGATCGATAATCGACTCGGGGGGAAAATAAGCTCGTTGGGTTGGGATTCTACGTCGAATGCCGACGACGAAGTTGATTCAGTTTGGAAAGAGGAAAGAAATGCGAGAGGGTATGACAAAAACGGGAAAGTGTTGGACAGTTTCGCTCTCGGGGAAAAGGGATCTCAAAGAGAGAACTTATTGTCACGATCTGGACGGCGATTCTAAGGCACGAGGAAGTTCCGGAGCGCGACAGCCGTGCGGCGTTACATCGCGATGCACTTTTCGACCGGCTATACGTTTCTTTCGCGCGACCGCGAGAAGACAATCGGCCGAACGACGATAATAAACATAAAAAAAAAGAGAGCGACAACCGCAAACGGAACCGCGAAAGTATTTTCCGAAAATTGCAAGCGAAACCGCACGTGTGTGTTTTCAGAAAAGGGACTCGACGATAGACAGCACGGTTTTTCGCGCGGTCGGAATATAGTGGAAATAATAACAAAAAAATTTTTTTTTCGTAAAAACCGTAATACCGCCGATGGCTCGAAGGAAACTGAGAATCAAACACAGAAACGGAAGTTTGTTTTACCTGCCTGCCTGCGAGAAACGTTAAACCGATTAATACTGCTTGCACGTCCGGAGGGAATGATCGCGAGACGTCTTTCACTGCGACGCGAGATGGAAACGGTCGGGCCCCCTCCCGATTAAAGACTCTATCTTTCGCGAAGCCGGACAAACAGGAACGGAGAATAAATAAGTGAAATAAGGGTAGCACGTGAAAGATCGATTTAAAATCAAACGTGTAAAAAGGAAGAGGAAGGAAAAGGATTATAAGGAGGAAGTTCGGAAAGCTGGGAAAGCGAGCTCGAGTGGAAGTTTCGGAATCGTTGATTTCTGGCGGTGGATGCAAAGGGTCTCGAAGGGATGGGAGAAGAGTGCGAGGGTAGAGAGCAAGGGCGAGGATGTTACCCCGACGGCTGTCGCCAAAGAAGTGATAGGTCTGCGGCCTTGCGCGCGGTACCCGAACCGAGGGCGACGTAGGGAACCGAGCGAGGGGACACCCGGCCGAGGGGCGCAGACGCGAGGGTTTATCGCTGGACGAGGGCGGCGACGATTGGCGGCGACCGTCCGACGCTGCCCCGCTTCCTCGTGCTCCGCCAATTCGCGAGGGGGTGAGTCGTCCGTTCGCCGAAGCCCCCCTCTACCATCTCGCCGCGGGAAGATCTCGCGCGAGCGGGGTGCAGCAGCAGCAGCGGCAGCGTGATGCCGACCCCTTCGAAATTCGAGTGTCGTATCGCGCTATAGGACATCGCTGGCCCTTTTTCGCTTCCCCTCCCCCTCCCCCCTTCCTCCTTCATCCCCCGCGGCGAGCGCGAAAGGGCGAGCGTGTTTTCCGCCGAGGCCGCCGAGACTTTGCGCCACCGCGCCAAGCTCCAGCGACGAATTTGACAGTAAATTGCAGTAATCGAGATGACACCGGTCAAATTTATAGGGCGATTACGGGGATGCAGTTGCAATTAAACTAATGATCTCGCTGCAAAGACTCCGACTTGGTGCCTCGGTCAATCTTTCGGGTACCACCGAATTGAAATACGAACGTTATCAATTTCACA